TTCATAAATGTGCTTTTTACATGAGGGATACTGAAAGAATGTACCTTTGTTTATCTAAGGAAAGAATCATACAGTTTGAGGTAACACATTTTTTTTTTAACGAACTGTAAAAAAAATCCATGATGACTTTTTTAAAATTAAGTTACTAAATCTTTAATTAGATTTTTTTAATAAATTTAATTTATTCAAAATAAATTGTAAACTCTCATGAATGGTAATTAATAATTGACCCCTTTGTTGCAAACAGTAGATATGTGATAATTTCAATATTTTTATTGAATTCTGTAATTTTTGAGGGGTGTTTTCAGTATTTTTATGTACTTTTTCTTTAATTTCTCACATTAATTTTTTTAGTTTGGTCACATGTTTAAAACAAGGCCAAATTAATTCGTGTTTTCAAGCTTTTTTTTAGGATTAAGTGATTTATATAAAAGTTAGGTATATCAGGACTCTCACGGGCTGGAAGAACAGGGATAACCTGGAATTCTCAAGGAATTTTATTCTGACTCTCGAAAGCAGGGAATAGTCGGGAAAAATTGCATATTTTTACAGAAACTTGGAAAACTCTCATACCTGGAAGAACCCAAAATTTTCAGCAGCAGTAATCAGTTATTGAGATTCAATTTAAATAATTCTAACATCTGTTACAATTATTTGTTATAAAAATTCGACATTTTATTAAAACTTTTCCATGTTTCCATGCTTGTTCAATGATACTTTTTTTGCTCACAAGATGTAATATCTACACATAATTTTATATTTGACATTACTAATGAAATTCGAAGTTTTCTGATGAAAAATTGTGTGACTTACAAAAAATATGGTCTGGATTTACATTGAAATTTTCCTGAAATACCTGTAAAAGTCAGCAAAATTTTTTTTCTTCTGAAATTAAGTGAGAACCTAGCTTATAGATATATAAAACATTTTTTCAATACATTTTTATCATGTAAGCAGCAGGTTTTACAGGCAAGAGGAATGAAACTGAAGGACGAAAGTCAATGAATTTCTGAAAGGCCTGTTTAACAGCATTTTTGGAAGTATTTTTTTATTACTAAAAAGTTGTCTAAATTTTGAAAGAAGTAGTAGTCAGTGGGGTTATTGATCTAGTGAGTATAGAGGAAGGTGAAGAAGTTCAGATTCCTGTAGTTTTGCCACAGACATTTATGCAATGCCGTTGATTAAGACAGGAGGAGACTGTTCACAAATGTAGGCTATTTTCTTAAGATTTTTGCATCATTTAATCTAGTATGTTGTAGTATATTTCTATAGTAACTGATGAGTCTGATTTCATAAAATCATAATGCATCATATCTGTGTTAGAGCCCCGAATACTCACCATTTATTTTTTAGAGAATATTACACTAAGAATGTGTCTTGATGATTTATCCATGTTTCACTAAGATTAAAGCTAACTACAGACTATTAATGTTTTGAGTGGTATCTGATACCATAGTGCCTTGAAAGAACTCTTATTTCATAATAGTGCAACTTTCTGATCATTCCGTTTTCTATAAAATTAATTTTTTAAAGAAAAATCTTTTTATATTTTTTGAGCTTCTGATGATTTTTTTTTAACAAGTGACATATGTAACTTTTCAACAAAAGAAAAAAAACAATAGTAAAATATTGAGCCAATGTTAAGTAATAAGCTGTTTTAAGTTGACATATACAACCTATAAACTTCATTCTTGATGACTTAATACATTACTGTGTTTATAGTTATTAAAAGTGTTTTGTAAAAGGAGGAACATGGAAAACCTGGAACTGTCAGGGAATTTTACTTTAACTCTAAAAATCAGGGAATAATCAGGGAAAGATACGCTTTTTTTTTTTTTACAAAATCCTGGAATATCTCTATATCATACTTGGCAAATAACCAGTCTTAAAATTATCAGTAACAGTAATCAGTTATTAAGATTAGAGATAAATAATTCAAAAATCTATTTCAATTATTTGTTGCAATAATTTCACATTTTAGTCAAACTGAAATGTTCCCATCCTCATTTTATAATACTTTTTTACACAGAAAATCTAACATTTCACATTACAAATAAAAGAATCAGTTTTCTGATGAAAATATGATCTCAATTATCATTAAAATTTACCTGGTATACTTGGAAAAGTCAGGGAATTCTTTTCCTGAAATTGAGAGGGAACCCTGATTGCTGCCTTAAAATGTGCTGGGCTATAAAATTTGAGGATTTTGATTACTAATAAGTTTTCTAATGTTTAATAATTAAATATAATAGTTAACAAGATTTGTTTTTATTTATTTTCAAGCATTTTATTTTAAGCAACAATAAAAAAATCTTTTATCTAGTTTTTTTTTCAACATTCATACAGTTTGGAAATACAATGAGGAATAAGAAGTTATCTGATTCTTCCAATTTTTAACAGAGAAAAAAAAACTGTGATGTTGAAATTTGAAAATTTTCTGCAAAGAAGTGATGTACACTGGTTTTGATTCAGACTTGCGTGATTTTTTTTTCTTCAAACAATACCTATTACGTATAGTTTGTCTAAAATAAGAACTCCCCCAGATATTATTCTGAACCTGTGTTGGTGACTATGGTAACAAGGCATGACTATTTCACGAACGGATGTGGGGTCACTGTTTTGGAGTATTTTCGGGTAGGCGAGAGAAATGGAATCTCTTTCTTCGGTCTATTGTGCTAGTCCTAGATTGAAGCTACCCTCCCTAAATTGCGCAATTCTTGTTTCCATAGCACCAGATGGCCTCAGACTTTGTGGCAGGAGGAGTTCTTAGCTTGGACAAACTGTAGTTAAAATTTCTGTTTGAAACATCTCTCTCGAATAATAATTATGTACCAGGAAATAAAATTCTTTTTGAAATCTATTGACTTATAATGTGAAGAAATATTTTATTTGTATAATAATCAAGTTATTTTATGAAATTTATAAAGTAAATTATGAAAGTTTCTATTCCAGCTCATTCTTTTATATCAATAATGCATCATTATTTTGAGTATGGTGTTTATCAATTGTTTTTTCCCCCTCCCTTTTTTTCTTGATTAGAAGCAATGTTTGTAAAGAATTTAAATAAATATTAGACTGATAAAGATATACTGCATTATAACCTATATAAAACATGTCATTCCAATCTTAGAAATTTTGAAGTACCTGAAATTTTTTTTTGTTAATTTAATCCCTTAACTTTATATCCTAGTTTCCTAACTTTACAAACAATGTATTGTATTTGCATAAAATTGAATTCTAAAGTTACAAGGTAACTAATTTAAGTTATGATAATGCACACTTTATTTAGTCCATGCCTACTTCTGACAAATAAATTTTTATTATATTCATTAATTATGTTTGCTTTTTGAAAAAAATGTACGTTGTATGTTGTAAAACAATAACAATGCTCTATAAAGCTTTTCAAGAAAAGGTACATCAAATATAGCTATTTTGATACAGCTATATTTAATATACTAAAAGGGTAGTAAACTCTCTTAGAGGTACAGAAAATTTGAAAGCAGATTTAATTAATGAAGAAATTAGTGTTTATAATTTTTTTACTGCCCAGTGCTGTAGAAATAAGAAGACATCTGTTATTAAGATTTAGAAAATTTGTTATTTTAGGAGTGCTTTTGCATGGACCCCCTGGTTGTGGGAAAACTATGATAGCTAAAGCCACAGCAAGGGAAGCAGGTAATTTTTTTCTTTTTTTGCATAAACATTTTTACTTTTCCTACTGTTTCTTTGCCTGCATTCTATTCAAAATATATATATTGCTAAAATTCAAAATCTGTTTTTTTTTTTTTTTTTTTTTTTTTTTTTTTTTTTTTTTTTNTTAAAAAAAATTTGAATTTTTTTTTTTTTTTTTTTTTTTAAATTTAATATAAATCAGATTTGTTTGATTTAAATCAGATTTTTTTGATTTTAATCAGAATTTTTTTGATATAAATAAAATTTTTTAAAATTACTTTAAGAACTCTAATTTCAGAATAGTTAAAACTGTATGAGTAAAATTATAATGGAAATATTATCAAAAATAAATTATTGCAATGCATTTGAAATTATTTTACTGCATAAAATATACAGGTGATAAGGTAAAGTAATAAGACAGACCCACAATTCAAATTTATTTAAAATGAAATAGAAATCTACACAGATTTCATTCATAAATGGATAAATAAGCACTTGAAGATTTAAAAAAAAAAAAAAAAAATTAGGATTTACCTATTTAATATTCGAAACTTAAGAATTTCTGAAAACTGGTTAAAGGCCTTGATTTGTTATTGATTATAATTTGTAATTAAAATTTCTTCACAATTTTATATGTATAACATCATTTTTGGTTTTTTTAATGGAGAATACTTTGGAAAAACTTCAACTGTAAGTGATTGTATCCTCTATAGTTGAAGTTTTCCTGACATGTAAAATACTCTGGAAATCTGGAAGGGGATTGTGTTCTGTGATATATCTGTCACTAAAGATATTTTATGGTGAATGATATCATCATGCAATTCTAGTATTACTGTCTAAGTTGCCTCAGTGGGATGTGCTACATTATTAACAAATAAAAATTATGTTATAATTTTTCTGAATCTTTTAATGAATGAAATGTCTACCATCAGGCATAAGTACATGTCATAACCAAAAGACTAAACTTGCATACTTTAATGAACTTAAAAAATCCGTGCATTCTCAATTGTAAAAATCGTACAAGAGACTTGCAGTACTATCTATACGAAAAATATTGAACTCAAAAGTAATTTTGGATTAGAAACTTGATATCCTGTCACATGAATTATATTTTTTAACTTTTACTTAATGCTATTAACAACTTTAATTTTACATATCCTTTTCTATTTTTTTCATCAATAATATTGATTTTATTAAATTAATATTATTATCCTTTATTATTAATTTTTGTTTCTTGAATAGTGCATGTTTTGATCATTTTTCTCATAACAGCCTATTGTCTCCAAAAAAAACCTATTTTTCAGACTTGCTTATGTCGAAATGATTTTGGCTTTCGATTAAAAAAATGAAATTTTTATAAGAAGTGAAATTTTTTTTAATGCTTTGTTCATTTATAAGTAGTGAAAAAAATACATTAGTATGCTTGAGCAATTGTATTTTTTACTAAATTTCTCTACTCGATCAGCTCAAATAAATCATCAACTATGTTAGTGTTAAAAAATTTGCTGATTGAAAAGATTTTATGTTTTTGTATTTTTTTTAATTGAATAATTAAAAAAAAAATTCTTTATACCTCTTGCTTTTTTTAAAATTAATTTTCTTATTTCTTTCTACTGTGTAAGTAGTTTTGCTGATTGTTTTTTTCTCTTTCTTTGTATATTATTGTATTATTAAAATGCTTATTTAAATTTAAAATTTTTTTTTTTTAAATCAGGGGCTCGCTTCATTAACTTAGAAGTGTCTGCTCTTACTGATAAATGGTATGGTGAAAGCCAAAAGTTAGCTGCTGCTGTATTTACACTGGTATGTCTTTATTTTTACTAAATCCTTTATTTGCCTGCAATTTCTAATCATACCTATGTAACTACTTAACATAATTTGATTACCTACATGGTTGCATAACTAATAATAAAATTGATATTTGTGTTAGAATTACTATTTATATTTAAATAGGTTTTGGCTAAAAATATTTTTCATTGTAGATGTAGAATATGTGTATGATAAGAAACATATTGGTCGAAAAATTGCTTAAACGTTAGAATTTTTTAAAGATAAAATATTTACACATATGAATAAAAAATACACCTAAAATTTCAATTTGTAGGAAACTGTTAAATAAAGCAATGATTACAGTTAAAATATAATATAAAGTTGCAGTTTAAGTGTAATATAATATTATGGTTAAGTATCTATGATAAAAGTAAATACTAGTATTATGTACACAAAAATAAGTAAAATATGCATATAGAATTATCCAGAAATAATAAAATAAAACATCACTGACCAAGAATAACCGCAGTTAATTGACAGATAAATCAGCTTGCTTTTATCATTAAAGAAAATATAGATGTAGGTATTAAAAGTTGAGACAATTTATTATTAAAACAGCATATGAAAAAAATTTTTTTTTTTTTTTTTTCCTTTTTTAAAATTTTTTTATAGTGGTGTAAAAAGTCTTTATTTTTTCTTTTCTTATTTGCTGCATTGTTACATTGTTTTTTGAAGGATGATTTGGCATAATTAAGTTTTGTAAAAATATTTTTTAATGCTTAAAAAGTTAAAGACCATTATTTACCACCTAAAAAAGAGTGGCCCAGAATTCCTCCTTTATGGACATTCACCTTAAAAAGAATCTTATATTAATAGAATACTGTTCATTTATGGACTGCCAGATTACTAGCCTTTAAAGATTAATACATTTTATTACAGTAACTTTTGATGCAAAATGTTTGCAATTTGACAACTATTTTTTAAATTATAGCAAATCTGAATTCAACTAATACATTTAATGATCCACGTTTTTAATTTTAAAAAATTATTTATTTATTATGGAAACAGTGCTGTTTATTCAGAACAATCTCTTATTCTATGCCATGTGCTAAAATCTTAAACCTTTTTTTAGGCTTGAAAATTGTTAAAGTAAACCTAATTTGGCATTTTTAAAAAAAACTTTTAAAACTAACAATTCAGTTAATATTTCAAATTTTATTTGATTTGACCTTATGCATTTCTTAATCTTTGGATGCTCCCTATCATAACATTTTGGAAACATCCTGTTTGCTTCAGCACAATAACAATGCCAGTTTTTTATGTTATTTTTTAATATCTAATAGCAAGAGATTTCGTCATTAAAATATGATGAACTGAGAAAAAAAATTTTTGTTTGTTCAATATTTTCATTATACTGTTCATACACTAGAGTTTGATCATAGTTTTTATTGCAAAATAATGTTATGACATATTTTATTATAAAATACATTGTAAATCTGCTATTTGTTATTTATTTTTTCCTTCATGCAGTGGTGAAATTATTCTAATGCTTTTCTTTCATATTTAGGCTATTAAAATCCAGCCATGTATCATTTTTATTGATGAAATTGGTATGTCAGATTTTTTTATATATATATTTTGTTTCCCTATCTTGATATTTGTGTAGTGTATCTAAATAGTTTCAAATTACTTACTGTTTTAAATATTTCAGTTATTGGGTACAATCAATAAATTTCATAAGCCAATATATCCCATTGTGAAACTAGTTGTTCAATCTTGAATGAATAATCCCAGGAAACTTTAATAGTAGTATATTTCTTGATCAAAAGCTTCATTTGTTCCAAAAATATATAAATTGGAAATTACAATTAACATCTTTCAAGCGCTCAAAAACGGCCACCCATTTTCAAGACTTACCAGACCTGAATGAGCAGAGAGAAAAAGTTTATTTTCATTCACGACCGGCAAGTCTAGAAAATAGACGCCTATTTTTCGAGCACTTCAAACATGTCATTATATATGTATATATATAATTTGTGCTCAAATTGGCTTACTTGCTGCCATACTCTTTGATTTAGATGTCCTGACAATGGTTTTTTGATTTTCCTAAAATGTGTAAGTCACGTGAAACTGATCTGAACTATAGGAGGGTAGGATTAATGCTTTATTTCTTAATCTGGTGTCAATTTGTAATGTACTCTTTTAAAGCGACCTGTACTCAGCGATTACACGAACAGTATCTAGGCTTAACCACTTGGAAAATTGTCTTTTGTTATGAAACTTATTTTTTTTTTATGGGTTTCCCCACTTTGGTAAATTGTTGGTCTTACTACACTTCAAGTATCATTCATTAGTAGCATGCATCCTTCTTGAAAGCCTTTGTTTCACTCCTTTTCCCTTAAAGTGCCTCCCCTCCACGGTATATTTTCCATTTATCGATGAATTCCAGTATGTCTTACATTACAACCTTCATGGTTAGAAAGGGCTCAGCACATTATCCCTACTTTCAGAAGCATTGCAATTGGAAACACTGTCAATATCTTCAATGCTTATATATTATATTGTTTGAAACCTTTTTCTGCTTATCTTGTTTATTACAGCAGAGTATGATAACTTATTCTGATTTTATAGACTCTTTTCTTCGGTCAAGAGACTCTTTCGATCATGAAGCTACAGCTATGATGAAGGCACAATTCATGAGTTTGTGGGATGGTCTTATTACTGATCCAGACTGTCAAGTTGTTGTAATGGGGGCAACTAATCGACCACAAGATGTAGACAAGGCAATTCTGCGGAGAATGCCTGCTATGTTTCACATTGGATTCCCAGTAAGTCAGATCAGAAACTATTTTATTTTGTTTTCTTGTTTAGTTTAAGAATAGCAAGATTGGATTAAGCACATGCAGAGGACTATGAAGAGATACCTTGGGAGGTATGATCCTGTCGTTATTAAAAATTCTAAACGACATTGAGATTAAGCATTTTAAATTTCAGGGTAATTTTTTTTTTTAGTCTTTTACTCTTCCTTGTACATTTGAAATAATTGGTGTCACTAAAATAACAGAATTCGAAAGATAAATTGAAGAAAATGAAGTGTAATAAAAATGTATGATTTATTGTGAACCTATCTTAGAATATTTTCTAGGAAACTTAATTTAATATCCGCCGATTCATTAACATATGGTGTTACTATCTTAAATTATAAATATAAGTTTTGCAGTTTGTAAAAATAGTTATAAAATTGCTAAATTATTTATATATATCTTAGTTTATTATTTTTGTTTCCATTATATTCATCAGCACTATATCAAGTTTTTAGTTCTAATTATTCATGTATGATTATACCTTGGACTATTTGCTTATATTTGTTACACTTATATTTAATATAGTCGATATATATGTAACCTTATATACCTATAGATTAACTCTATTTTTTTAACAACTTTGTTTGAAATTTCAAGTCTTTCAAGTTTTGCTTAAATTTGAATATCTTAATTCCAAAGCAAATAAAATTTACTTAGATTCAATTTTTGTTTCAGAAATCATTGAAACTACTTATATATATTTCTATAATGTTATATTTTATTTCATGGTATTATTTAAATCGTTTAGTTATTATTTTTACAGAAACTATGTTGTGTGCAATATAGGTTTTTCCAATTTTTTCCACTTTGGTTCAGTAGTATTTTATGTACAAAATCTTTATTGATTTTGTTTTGAAATATCTTATATAATTCCTAAATATAGGTAGATTTTTTTAAAATTCAGAATGTGTAAAAGCTACATGGACGCAGTTTTTATTATTATGACGACATTATCTTATTATGAAAACGTGATTTTAAAAAATTCATTTGATTTCAGCTGGAAATATATTTTGTCTAGTAGAAGTTGCTCATTTGAGTTACTTAGTTTTGCTTTTAATTGAATGACCTTAAGCAATACTTCTAGATACATTTAAAACTCTAAAGTTTGTTCTCTTAAATTTTTCTCATTAAATCTTACACCTTAATAATGCAATCTTACATCTTGAAATTAATGTTTTTAGATAGAAATGAAGTTAGTGCAAAATGTATTTCTGAGCTTAATTTCATTTTGAGAATGTTTTTGTTTGCAATATTTCTAAATTATTCTTTTACAAATTCTTGGAATTCTTGTGTGTTTTTTAAATTTATAATTCAATTGTATTTTTTTTTCCTCAAAACCTTTTTAAACTTGCTTGTCAATTATTAAATTTCATTCGATTTTTAAACTTATATTTTAATGTATTGATATAATTTTAAAATTAAATTGAGTGCAATATAAGGGGCTTAAGAACTGTCCGATTATATTTAATATTTTTCTTACAATCTCATTAATAATTCCGTTTGAACTCTTTTGAAATATTTAAATTTATGTTCTTTTTTTTATCAGAATTCTCATCAAAGAGCTGGAATCTTGAAACTCATTTTGGAAAATGAACTTGTAAGTATTTTAAATGGAGAAAAAAAAGTATCTCTTACTACATCTTCTATTATTGTATTATTAATCTTTATGACAGTATCTTTATAACAATAATTGAAATTTCAGTATTCAGAAGATGTTGATATAAAAGAGATTGGAAAAATCACTGAGGGATTTTCTGGAAGTGATTTGAAAGAACTTTGCCGAAATGCTGCTTTGTACAGAGTACGTGACTACTGCAATGAAGAAATAAGAAACAAAAGTCTTTTGGACAGGTATTTGAAAACATACTTTAACAATCATTATTCCTTTTATTTATGTTTCTTATTTTGGGCAGAATTTATACAATGTTCTCTATAATGATCACTCTTTAATATGTAATTTTGGAATCATTTCTAAGAGTTAAGAGAAAAAGTATTCACATTAGAGGTTGAGAATTAATATTTAAGAAAGGAAAAAAATTAAAACTGCCATCAGAATCTGTTGGATTGCTCATTGGAGACGGAAAAGTTAAAAGGCAGTTGATAGAATGACCTCCAAGTTTGAATAGGCAATCAAACTACTTTTGATATATTTTATTCTGTCTTTTTCACTAATTTGGCAATTTTTTTTATCATGTTTTTGTTTCTTCCTGAAATATTAGTCTCCTCATGTGTAATTTTTTATTTTATTTTACATACCCAATCAAAAACTTATTCATGGAATAAATAAATTAAATGTATTGTTTGTACGAAAAAGTTAATAAAAATTGGTTAAACATTTTCTTCACTATGGCAACAGCCCTGAATGATTCTTGGCGTTCTTCAGAATTCCATTTCATGCAGGTTTTGTTTTAGTTCTAAGTAATAGTTGATTAATAGTTTTTTGAACTTTTTCCAGACTGTCAATCTAAGTCATGACCCCTCTTTTTCGGGTACCAGGTAGTTTGATTATAAAATGACCTAATAGAGGTCATAAATATTAAGGGTCATAAATATAAGAGGTCATAGGGGTAATAAAAATTGGTTAAACATTTTCTTCACTATGGCAACAGCCCTGAATGAGCCTTGGCGTTCTTCAGAATTCCATTTCATGCAAGTTTTGTTTTAGTTCTAAGTAATAGTTGATTAATAGTTTTTTGAACTTTTTCCAGACTGTCAATCTAAGTTATGACCCCTCTTTTTCGGGTACCAGGTAGTTTGATTATAAAATGACCTAATAGAGGCTTAATAATGTAAAATAAATTTATATTCTGTAAATTGGTTACAATCATGTGTTTAAATCATTAGGAAAACTGATTTACATCATTGAGAAAAATATCTAGAGTGTAAAGAAAAGTTACTTCATTCAAATTTCTTAGGCTTAAAAATTCTAAAGTTGAGAAAACTCTTTGCTGCCATACAAGTCGTTTGGAAATTTTTCCTTAAATTATCTTAAGCCAGTGCTTGAAATAATTTTATGGTGACTAAATTATTTAGTATTGATTAAACTTTTGACGCAGTATATTTATAAATTCTAATTTAGCATTGATTTTTACTCAAAAATTCAAATGACCCTAGTATTTTTTAAAATTTTTTTTGTTGATATTTATACAACTCATTATTTCTGTATTCATAAAATAAACCTTAAATTTTTAACGCGCCATAGTTTCTTTTTTCAAAGCTGCTTATCGTTTTGCTTAACAAATTATTTTTTGCCTGTTCATCTTTAAGCTTTAGTGTTAATCAGTCTATAGTATTTTCAGTGTTTTCTTTGTGAAAAAATACTAGTCTAATCAATTATTGATTTGCACCTATCATACCTTTTAAAGTTAGTTAAGATAGAAACAAGAGAAAGCAAATATCTAAAAAGGGGTAAATATATCTATGTCTCTGATATTTAAAAAGTTTTAACTTTTGTCAAAAATCTAATTCAATTCAAAAGAGATGTATGAAATATTCTTGTAATGTTTAATTTGAAGCAAAATTTTAAAAATGAATGTTTTTCTTTTTTTTAGGAACTTACAACTAAAGTTTTAAAATTAAGTTGGGAAAATCTTTGATATTAAAAAAGCTACCTTTTTTCAAAAATCTAATTCAGAAGAGATATATGTAACAACATTCTTGTATTCTCCTTAATCTACTTTGAACCAAATAGCTAAAATGAATGTTTTTTTAGGAACTTACAACTAAAATTAAATTTTGAAATTAAAAAGGAAAAAATGCATTATTCCACAGACCTTTTCAGCAAAGAAAGTAACAAAAATATCACTTACATTTGTTCTTTCTTAAGAATATTTATTTGTGCATTTTTTCCTTAGTGATCAGAATGATATGAATAGGTTGACTACACTTGTTAGCCTCACTTTCATATTTGTACTTGTCATTTTTATTTTATTTTAAAACTAGTGTACACCTCTAGCTTATTTCTGTAGTCGCACAGAAAGCACCACAAATCATACAAAAATAGAAAAACAATTAGCTCACAAGACTTAGTGAATCTGTATCTCAAAAGGAACAAATATGGAGTTAACCCGCTTTACAAATAAGGCCTTTATCTGTTCTACATGCCATGTTTAAATTTAACCAATTCTAGTTTCCATAAGTGTGATGAAGATCCTTGCTCGAAAATTTGATTAATTATTCCCCTTCACTTGGAAACTATTGCAAGTCAAAGTATTTGACAGTTTATATGTGCTGTGTATCAGAATAGCATGATTTATATAAACTGTAATTTTTTTTTAAATGATTTAAATTATTTGGCATAACTAGTTTAAAAAATGGATAAAAAGAGAGAGGCTAAAATTGGAACAGACTAGTATGAAGCTTTTAAATTATAATTTTTCATAACCTGCATTTAAAATAATTTGCTGATAAAAAATATATTTCAATCATTCTTATTAAGTTTTACATTTATTTATTTTCAAGTGCTTTGAAAGCTTATTAAATATGTTGTTAGTGTATATCAATAATGAAAAAAAAAGATTAGTTCTGTCCAGAGAAAGTGCTTTTTTCATTACTGTATTCTAATCTAAACTTATTTACTTTTGATTGGATATCTAACTCACAAATCACCTACCAGTCTTTGAGATTTTAGGATGCTTAGCTTGAACAAAATTAATCATAATTTAATTTAGTGATGTAATTATTAAATAAAATATGAATTATTTTAGCTAGATACCACAGTACCACAGCTAGGGTCACAGTACCTTTGCAACAATTTTTTAAAATAAAGGTATAATCGTTCATTTTAAGGATGCTTTACATGCTCATTTAAGTTATAATCAATAATTTATCTTCAAAAAGTAATTAAACTGTTTATTTTTTTTTAAATTTTAAAAAAAGTTTAAAAAATTCTAAATTTTTAAATCTTTAAGGCTTTTTTATTTTAACATATTTTCAAAAAAGGTTTTTTTCATAGTGCTTGCTATATTTATCTTAATAATTTTGTGCATTCATTTGTTGATATATCAATTAGAATATTTTTTATAGATTATTTTGTAAAAAAGTAGAAAAAAAGGGTAAAAATTCCTGTTAGGTATATATAACATGCCGTAAAAATTGTAATACCTCATAAAATGCTTATTCCATGCACAGTTTAAATAAGTGTATTATACTCAAGATAAAAAAGTTTACTTCAAAGCTTTATCTTAAATAGAAAAAATTCCTTAGGGATTTAATTAAGATTAAGACACAAAATTATCATCTATGCGAAAAAGCACTTTAAAGTCAGACTGCTGAGCAAGTTTCTGTATTAGAACAATTTAAAATCATTCATAACTTTTTTAAAAATGTAGATAGAGAGATGAATTTTTTTCTGTACATTTGAAATAGTACTTTGAATTTTTATTATAAGCAATAAAAAAATTTTTGGAATTTTTGTCATTTTTTGGGTACTGTGACCCCTTAATACATTTTAACAGATGATTTGCTGGTAAATGAAAAAAACTCTGAATTCTTAAAAAAAAATGATTTTTTCAAAATATGTATTGAATACTTGAAGACAATGAAGCCCTTCTTTTGATACATACGAATAAGGGAAAGAAATCAGCACAAAGGCAGAATAAGAAGCACTAAAATCAATTTTGTTGGATGAAACTGAGAGAAGTTTCAGTTTCTCAGTACTGGTATAATTCTTATTGTACCTTTGTTATTATTGACCTCAATATTAGGTTAAATTTCGGAATTTTTATCCTTAAATTTTAATTTTCAATCTTTAGGTGTTGGTTCCAGTTTTAATAAATTCATTTTTTATTCAAAACTTATAAATTAAGGCTTTCAATTATAGAGCAACTTATATGCCTTATTTCTGCATTTATTGGAAATCCTTTTATTAATGTTTTAGTGGTGATTCTGAAGTCTATCACGATGCTTTGAGACCCATATGTATGGAAGATTTCAAGAATGCGTTTGATAGAATGGCAGATTCTAAATTGCAAGCTGGTGTTATGAGGTTTAAGCAAAGACTTCCAGAGCTAGATTAAAATGAACTTAGCATTTGAAATTCCCATTCCCGCTTTCATTTGCTCAGCATCCTCATTTAGCTCCAAACGAAAGACATTTTTGCATACTTGTGAGTGTTGCATTGTATTAGTTGTAGTGGATATCTGTGAAATGTGAATGTATAAGTTGATTTCCAATAAATATGTACATTATGTAAGAATTGATTATTTGCAGTGTAGAGTTTTGTATTGTGATAAAATGTAGAGTAAATAATTTAATGTTAATTTGGCAAGTTTTTTACATGGTATCACAAGGTACAACTTAAAAAAGATAAATTTGGCAAATTTTCAGATTAAGAAATTTTGAACAACTGTTTTATAAGGTGTCTGAATTTAAGGCTGACATAACTAAGTGGCTCTAGTGTACTGAATCTTATTGCAGGAGTCGTGTTGACTCAGGGGATAGAGCGTTCATTTTCCAACTTGCTGACCCAGGTTCGAATTCCATCAATGGCTGATTTGTACGAATTCTGTTCCCAGAATTCACACCGACTACAGTACTGACGTAAAATATCAATCAGTGGTAGACAAATCACATGTTAAAATCTCCTTCCCGCCGGGTTAACTGTAGGAAATATTTGTGGTTTTCCTCTCCATACAATGCAAATGCAGATTTAAATCGAAAAGTCCACCATGAACACTCCGTTGTCCCAATGCTTGTTCTAGGAGTTCCATTGTCATCTGGGTTGGGTTCGAAATTACAAGGCTACATATTTGCAGGGCTGATTGCGCTCCGGAAAAAATCCGGATTTTTCGCTAACAGTGATCTGGAAGTTTCCGGAGATTGAAGGTCCAAATGTTCCAAAAAATCATTGATCACAGAAATTTCCGGAAATCAAATTTTCGAAGGTGGAACTTAAAAACACAGTTTATTTTATTTGTTTGTAAGGGAGAGCCAGAGAGATACTTTATAATGATGATAGTTAAATANAATCAGTAAATAGTTATTATAATCATAAACTCAAGAAAGAAAGACATTCTAAATTTTAATTACTTCTCCAGGTCATCATAGGTATGTGTAAATGGTATAGGTATATCTAAAATTTTAAATATATTTTAAATAAACTAAGAAATGTTTAGAAAAAGGAAAAAAACCTTGTTTAAATTTTTTTCAATTTAAACTGGGTTTTTTTTAACTCTAGAAATTTTCTGGAATTTTGACTTGGGCTCACAATTACCCCTGTAGTTGCACATCGGTAGTTTTAAACTCAGAATTGTAAACTCTGCTGCTCAATATGTATATGTATATACATACACATACAAAAAAAGCTACTTATTGCAGAGTCAACAAAATGAGGAAGGAAACATCCTGGATATCTTTTGTTCTGATGATTACATTTTTGCATATTAAGTAACTATTGTGTATATGGAATTTTTATTTATAGAATTAAACACAAAAAATATTTTTACTTAACTTTTTTTGTGGGTTCAGATTGTTGATTTACAAAATATGAGGAATAGATACAATTGGGGGGGCGGAATGGTCCTAGTAGTCACTAGCTTAATCATATAAAAAGCACAGAACTTAGTTTTGCAGATTAAAACATGTGCATCACATTTTAATTAAAAATGGTAAGAATTGGTCCAGTTGACTTGGAGTATCTCTGCATTGATATTTTAATTACAAGTGTATAGGTTTTGAAATCAAGGTTGGCTTTTTGCCGGCAGAAACTGGTTATAACCGGTAAAAACCGGCAGAAACTAAAAAAACTTCTATATTAGTTCTAGTAATTGCTTAATGACATTTTGTTTAAGTAAACTGAAAAATTTAACTCCATGTAACTGTAACAAACTTTTTAATTCATTGTTTGTGAATATATATTATTTTGTTTACATTAAATATAAAGAGTGCAGTATATCAAATATTTATATAAAATGAAGAATAAAGTAATGTAATAATAAATATAAATACCAGATTTTAGTTTATTATATTAAATTCTGAAATTCAGTAATTATCATTTAACTCTTAACATAACTGAATAGAGCTATTTTCAAATTGTTTTTTTCTTTTCAAGACATAATTTGCATGGCAACAATCCAATTATTATAACAGTAACAGTTTGAATCTATTGTGGATGGCAATGCCTGCTGGATTTGAGAGAATATTCTCAAATTTCTCGTTCGTGCATAGCAAATTTAGAAATTGTTTAGATTTAGAAACTGCATCAAAACTTGTCTTTTGTTATACATTNAACTACCCCAGCTGCTACATGGTGGTCCAGTTTTAAAAAATATGCAATAGATGAAAGTTTCACAAATCTTGCTTGTTCCTTGATGGCAATGCCTGCTAGTTCTGCTGGACTTGAGAGAATCTTCTCAAATTTCTCGTTCGTGCATAGCAAATTGAGAAATTGTTTAGGTTTAGAAACTTATCTTTTGTTATTATTGTATTACTGCAGAGTGCAAACAAAGTAATATTTGATTTTGAATGGTGATAATTTTGTAAATGAATTGAACTTTGTTTAACATTTAATTGTTTTTTCTATGAATTATCCATTAATATGTCAATCTCAGTACTTACTTTTATGTCATTTTTTGAATTTCTGCCACAAATGTGGCAGAAAAGGGTTTTTGCCATTCCCATTTTAACCGGTTTTTACCAGTGGTTTTAACCACCTCGGCAGAAACTTGCCAACCTTGTTTGAAATCGAAAAATCTATAGCTGTATAACAAAAAATAAAACTGCATCGTTTAAAAGACAACACTAATTTATTATTACTTATGACTTTTTTTCAATAATATAGATCATCCAGGCTTCTAGTTAACATCTAGAAGCTTGTTGCTGAATTGACTAGCTTCCATGCCTTTAAAATCTTCTCTTGAAGTTAGTCTTTTAGTACATATCAACTTTAAGTTATACATATTACATTCATACTTGGATGAAGTATTTGATCAATTCCCTGACAAGATTAAAAGAAATTTCAGTAATCTTCAATATGAAAAACACAGGGAATTTCAAATGCACAATATCATTTTAATGGCACTTGTCACTGAAATTTCTTATGATCAGAGAATTGACCTGAAAGTGTACATTACAATCATACTTAGAATAAGTTAATCTTCTAATTACAAATCATATAATGTAATGTGAAAAGTTACAAATAATGTCACTTTGAGCTTGGTTTTTACACAATAGTGCTGGGCAATGTTGGAATTTTAGTTTCACAATATATAGCTCAGATATCTCAATATTTCATGATATATCACAATATATTTTCAGTTTTAGTAATTTACATTATTTTTATTATAATATTCTCGTGCTTAAAAGAAATTTGTCATCCCTACCGACAATATAGTATTCAATAATTTTCAACATTACTTGTTATGTATTCTAGATTAATTCTGTTGATACTGATCGTGATATAATCATTATTAGTAATCCTATCATACTACATAATACAGAATTTTCGTAGTTTCAAGAAGAAAAAAATTTTTATGATAAAGGTAATATATTAGCATATTAATAAATTATGATCAAAAGAATTCAGGCTACAACCTGCCCATAAATAATTGAAACTGATATATTTAAAGCCAGATATTCCAATAGTCATTTCATGATGTTATTAAATTTTTATAAAAATTCTATTTGTATTAACAATTTTTATTTTATCTCACTATAAAAAATATTTTGCAGAAACTGCAAATGTTGGAGAGTAGGTTGGCGATTCTCACAATATTTTGATATTCATTGTGGTCAATGATAATCTCTGTAATCTTGGTCTTAGATTCATGATATCTCTTTATATAATCTAACTTTGGAAATTTTATAAGCATCAATAATTCACAGTACATCGCCCAGCTGTATTTAGCTGCATGATTTAAGTCTAGTAATAAATTAATAGTAATAAGCAATGAAACATTTTCAGAAATGTTTACAATTTGTTGAAGATTCAACATATTTATACTAAAACGTGTACTTCAAAATGAATAAATAAAAAACACATACTTGATGATGATGATTGAGCTCTATATACAATAGTCGCATGAAAAGCATTAAATTATATGAATGAAGTGATGAATTATATATATATATATTTTAAATGTACTTAAATTTCAGCAAAATAATTTGATAGCTGTTGCTAAATATATATATATTTATATATATTAAAAAAATATTTTTAAATTTATAAAAACATTTGTGCTCTGTGTTAAATGTATTTTAACTTTGATCACTGGCGATAAAAATTATTATTTTTTAGTTTTCATAACATAAACTCTGATGTATAATTGTTCATTTAAAATGTATATTCTTTATCCTTGATCTTCGTCATCACTATCTGAAACAAAGAAAAAGAGAATGAACTAAATATATTCACAATTAAATTAATTTATAAGTTAAAGCAAATTTTGCAGATAGAATCATGACAGTAATTTATAAGTTATAGTAATTTATAAGTATTATATATTTGTGCATAGCTTTTTTATAAAGGGATTAAAGGTGCTTATTTTCGATTTTTAAAAGCTTTTAAAGGTGCTTTTTTTATAGGATGTTTTTTAAAAAGTGCTTAATTTTCCCTTTTTGAAAATGAGATTTTTTTGTTCACCTTGTGAATTTTCATCTCGTATTATGCAAAAGGGTGCTTTTCACATTGCTCTATTCAATGCTTTCAAAATTCATTCAACCATAGTCTATTTCAGCTTACCGTCGATTAATTGCGTATGAAAGCGCAAATCATTTTACAGGTTTGATAAAATACTTGCGAGTCCGCATATGCACATATGGAGCTGGGCTCAGATTATTGCACTCTCATGTGCAACTCTGCTGCATTTTACTAGATATTCTCAATTTCAAGCTTAATTTTCCACCCTCTGAAATCGAACCGAAAAATCTCTTGATCATTTCTTAATCAAGAAAAGAGTTCTTAGTCAGAATCTAGTTATTTTATCATGACCATGTGAAGTCTTAGAAAATTATTTTTCATTTTTTTAATGTATATAATGCTTAAAAGTATTTTTTTTTAGTGCTTAGAAAGTATTTAGAAGGCGCTTACTTTTTGTTGAAAGATTTGTCTATACACTCTGTATGCTATTTATAAGTTTGCAGATGGAATCCTGTCAGTTCAAACTATTTTTCGTTAAATTTTAAATATAGTATCCCAAATAACACTAGATTTAAAGATTTGTTGCTGCAGAAATCATTTGAAAGGACGTGCAATTTCATGTTTTCAAAATAATAAAGACTAACTATGCAGATGATAATCAGTCATAAGTATATCAGACTCACTGCTCTAAGTGTTGTGGTGCAAAAAACTAAAATTGTTTTTATATAAATTTTTATAGTGGCAATAGACTTAGTAAACAAAAAGAGTAGCCATTTTACCTAAAACGCTATCGATATTTATACCCTTATTCATTGAAAATTTTGGTCAGGAAGATGTACTAAATTTCTTTTAAAATTTAATTTTTATGAAAGACCCACAGAGTTGCAACTTCATTTCACAGGGTGCGTAGCCAGCGTTTTTAAAAAGTGCTTAAAGGTGTTTATTTTCGATTTACATTTCTTAAAAGCCCTTAAAGGTGCTTTTTTTTTATTAGCGTTTTTAAAAAATGCTTAGTTTTCTATCAAAAAAGATATTTTTTTTTTCCTTTGCTGTGTCAATTATCATTCTAAATTACAAAAAAAAAAGAATTGCAAGATTTATCAGAAACTAGTTATTTTATCATGATTATGTAAAGTTCATGATAATGTAATAATTTATTGTACATTTTGTGCTTAAAACTTTTAATAAGTAGGCTATCCAGAATCTCCTATCATAGAATTTTTCTATGAACCAGATGAGAGCCGCGAAGTCTCAAGGGATAGAGCGTTCGCCTTCTAATGCAGCGAACAGGGTTCGAATTTTAGTCGATACGTATTCCGCATCCGGCTAGCACCGACCATAGTGCTGACGTGAAATATCCTCAGTGGTAGACGGATCATGGGTTAGTCCCCTTGCCGTCAGACTAACCGTGGGAGGTTCTCGTAGCCTTCCTCTCCATGTAACGCAAATGCGGGTTAGCTCCATCAAAAAGTCCTCCACGAAGACAAATTTCTCCCAATACTCGATCCTGGAGTTCCCTTGTCTTCCGGATTGGGTTCAAAATTACAAGGCTACGGAGTTGAACATTAGTAGTCGTAAATCCATCGAATTGGGTCGGCTGTTCAACGACGGTTATAAAATAAAATTATAAAATATCAACCAGATGACAATAATTTTACTTATGCGAAATAGGAACGTGCCTATAAACAAGGCTGAACACAAATTTTCAGTCTTCAGGACAAAATTTACTGCTGCCCTTTCGTCAAAACTCAAGACTTATTTTAATATTTTTTAGAAATTTTAAGGAGCCCTTATTCAAAATTTGAATTTTTTATAAATATATTAGAGATTTCTTTTCAATTTTCTTTTGAAAATCAATATAAAAAAAAACGCTGCTTCTTTTTATGGTATTTAGACTGGGCGCTGTGACAATTATCTTTGTCTTTCCATAAACATAACTTTTTGGTTTAAATCATTCTATTTTCTTAAAAATTGCAGAAATTAAGTGTTGTAAAACTATTTCATATCTTACCCTTTTTTCCTTGGTACTGATGCCTTCGTAGCCTATCGTACAAATCATCTTTGTTTCCATATATTGAAGCTGTACTACGCGCTAAACTATTCCCTCCTTTCCCGTGATGCAAACTATCTGTAAAATAAAAAACAATGTTTTATTAATAAATATTTAATTAAATGCTTATAACTGTAATTGTATTTTAAACTATACTGTTAGCTTTTACATCTTCAAAGAAAAAAAAAGTGAAATCTTTTTTAATGTTTAAAGTATATTTGGCTGGAAGAAAATCAGCAATATTTTGAATTTTTTTATTTCCCATATTTGAACTTCAGTTCATTAGCTTTTTAACTGTCTTAAAAATTTTTATTTCGATTTTTGGAAATGGAATTACAGTTGTCTTTTTGCATGCTGACAATCGAAACCATTTTTTCCTTCGCTTTGAGTATCCTTATTTATTTGAAATTCCTTTTCAGAAATTAGTTTTCAAAGTGATTTTTTTCGTATTTTAAATGTATTTTCTGGAGAACGTTGATTTTGAGAAAATCTCTTTGCACTAACACACGTTACAAAAAAAGTTTGTTTTAGAATTCTTTGAAATTTTGTAAGTAGATTTTGTCTAATGTTTTTAACCAAAGGCTAAGATCTGAGTGTGAATTTGTTATTTGCATCAAGCTTTAAGTAAGGATATTTAGAATTTTTCTTTATAAATTCGATATTGAACAATGTTTTTAATTTTATTTAAATGTTTTTAAGATTTTAGTTCGAAACACAGGTAATCACATTATTGACCTAGAAAAAATATTGTTTTGAAATGTATGCATTACAATTTGTTGTAGAGCTGTTAGCATGACACGAATTTGTTTATTTATTTTTAACTTCAAATTTGTCCTTAGTTTGAAAAATATTTTATAAATTTTTAAACTTTACTTTAAATTTATAATTTTAGGTCCCCTGCTTACCAAAAATAAAATTAAAATTTCAAGTGAGCCTTTTTTAAAAAAAATTGTGACAAAACCAGTTGGATACCTTAACCTGTGTATGTTTGGTGAAGGATAGCAAATAATACTCCACCTATATCTTTAGTAATTAAAGTTATTCTGATAATTTAGTTTATTATATTAAATAAATACGTCAATTTTGTTTACAGACTTATGGATTATTTAGTGATTATAAGAAAAAAAATATCATATGCAGATTATTATTATAATGCACTTTTTTCAAACAAAACTTATTTATGGAATATCTATTGGTGTATCTTTTAATGTAACTTTTACATTTCTTTTGCTAGTATAATTTCTTTTTATTTATGCTATTATTTTTTATGTTTATATTTATCTAATCCTTATTATCGTACCTTTCATGTAAGTTTCATTATAGAAGTTCGGCATTTCCCAGCCATCATCGTCATCATCATAATAATGAGCATAAGTGCTATGGTGAGACGGTGCAATGCTCTCAGCATATGGTTGAGGAGCTCCATAGTAAAAGTTTGTTTGAGAGCTACTTAAATCTATTGCTGGCTCTGGCATTTTCTTTGGCAAGTTTTTACGTGCAGTAGACCTATGGGAATAACATATTTTAGTCACAATCTCTGTTTATAGATTAGTCAGGAAAAAAAAGTCTGTTAATCTTACCTAACACAAATCATCCATATAAGAAGTACCAAAAGAATTATGAATATGACTGCTCCAGCTATACCGCCGGCGATGTAAACGAACTCAGCCTTGCTTTCACATCTGTTGCCATGGAAATTGGTAACACAGTGGCACATGGGTTCATGTGTTTCTGCGTTGACCTCACAAGTAGCTCCGTTCACACAATAGCCCTCGCATACCGCTGAAAGGGAATATTTTTCAGTAAGATTATGCTTAAAAAATTCTATTAAGAAAGTGGATTGGATTCTATTAAGAAAATGTCGTTTAGCGTTTGCTTTTCAAAGCTACATCAAAATTCGTATCGTCTTGGTTTGCAGATCGTACATCGCTATTCATACACATGCGAATTTTGAATTTACTCGTGAATTGGAGTCCCACCAGTAATGAAAATTTAGTGGACCAGTAGGACCACTTGGGTATTCATTTAGTACTCCAAAAATTTAATATTTTGTAAATTTCGAACATATTTCAAGGTGACAAATATTTTGCCCATGCGTATGCTTTTAGAGACATTTGCCGCCATACTGGCGTGAACCCTATTCTTGAAGTTGTTGGGTCGTTTTCTTTTTCGAAAGTGAATACATAGCTTTTTAATTACAAGAGATTTGCAAATTGAGATTCGTAATCTCGATGTTTACGTACTAGGCTTCGCGAATTGTATTGACGATATTTACGAATTACATATCGTGATAGTGTTCACAAATTTTAAGAACCCACACCTCGGAAATCAGTATTTGGTTGAAAAAGTAAAAAGCTGCATCTAAATTCTTCAGAAGTATTTTGGATGCAAGTCAAGAGTAGCTTCAAATATTCAGGAGGAGAAGTTTTTTTTTTTTTTTAAAACTATAATACAACAAAAAGTCAAGAAAGTGTCGATACGTATTTATCATATTAAAGAAATTAAAGTCATTGGTAAAAATGATCGCAATATTATTGAGTTTATGTGTATCTATTTTGGTTTTTGAAAAATGCAAGAGATGTTAATTACCAATATAGATAACGGGATGGAAGCGTATAGGGCAAAAAATCATTACAAAAGAGTACTACAATGTGAATATTGCTGTATACTGGGCAGTGTTACGAACAAATATTAAGATAATGACAAAAATGAAAATGTAATTTTTTCTTTTAAAGAAACGTAAGCTATGTGCAATGCAATAATCAAATAGCGTTAAAACTTACAAACACATTCTCCAGTTCTATTTTCAAGTCGATATTTAGGTTGGCATTCACAGGCAAAAGAGTCTGTGTCTTCTCTAAAAACACAGAATGCATTTGCTTGGCACAGGCGTAGTTGTCCATCAACAAGACATGGGTTTGTGCAGTCTGATTCGGAGGTTGCTCCTTTCGATGGAGTGGTCGTGTCTTGTGGGCAAGGTCTGCATTCTGACTCCTGCTGTTCATGATCCATGTAACTTCCTTTAGGGCATTCCACGCAGTGCTTGTTGCTGTCCATGTATTGTCCTGGACTGCATAGTTCTGTAAAAATATAAATGTATAGCTTCATCCTTCAAATAGAAGACTTCAGTTTTCTATGCATGATGTGTTGGTAAAGATATTCTTAACCCATGGTTCGTGAATAAAATTAAGAATAACCATCGCAACCGTATTTAATTTAGAGACTTTATTGATATTGGCTCTAAATTTTTCTAAGCTGTATATTGAACGAAATCCAAGATCAAAAGAATAATTAAAGTGGAAATGAGAGTTCAATAATAAGTTAGGCACTTTCAATGAGCCTTGTAGGCCCTAAAAATATGCTTTGTAAATAATTAAATGTAGATATTCTGCAATAAATATCTTTCATGAGGATATCGGAACTTCATGTAAAGTGATGCCTTTTAATAATTGCCTTTTTTTTTCTAAATGTTCATTTAAGGAAGTGCAGCAATAATATTTTGCGTGACATTTTCCCCCACGCTTGAAATATACGTGTATATTTTACGTGTGCCTATTTTATTTTACTTGTTATTAAACTTTTACAATTTTCATAAATACCTACGTAACTATAATATACATCCTAGTTAGTTAGTATGTAGTAGAACCTCTGGTAGCACTATCATCGAAAATTCAAATTTTTTAACAACTTTAGCGCAGTCAGACAGAGTTTAATATAGTAAAAATTACGCGTAACATATATTTAGCGTAATTTACAAACATTAAATGTAATAAAGTTATACATAAAAACTTAATGTTTAAATTTTGATTTCATACAACCCATACTTTAGTTTGCCCAAAAGGAGAAAAATCGGTTCTTATACTAAACTTAATAAAGAAATTAAAACGAAAAGTTTAATTTGCAGATGATAATATTGAAACAATTTTTTTTAATTTTAAAACAAGGAATTTACAGAATTGTAATTTATGGTGTTCCGATTTGTGCCCATTTAAAGCTTCTTCAAATAAAATTCATCACAGATATTTCAAAATTTTCATTTAAATTCGAAGTCTTTAATGGCGACGAATTCAAAGTCAAAAATGCATTACCTTCCGAGCATTCTGCTTCAGACTTGGCGCTGATAGATGGAGTTGTTCGTTTCAAAGGACATTTCATGCAGGATGGGGCTCCTTTCGGTCTGAAGAATCCTCTCATACAAGACTCACAACTTCCATCTTTGGTAAGTTGGAATCCAGCGGAACATTCCTCTGAAAATCAAATTTACACATGAATACTTTTACAGTCTTGTATTAAAACTGCTCGACTTCCTCTCAGGGAGGTCGAAAAGAAAGAAATTAGAATTTTAACACGAACCTTGTTGGGAAAGCGAATGAATTATGCAAAAAGTTGCACATCCTGATATTTTTGACTAGAAAAAAAAAAACTTATAGCAAGTGTTCAAAGTGATGGACACGCGGGCTGTTAGCACATTTCACATCCTCTTGAAGATTCTGGATGTTGAGTTAATTTTGTCTGTCCAGATATTTTTTGAAAAATCCGTTTTTTGTAAAATTGTGAAAAAATTACTCGTAATTTGTGACTATAAAATAAACGTTAAGTCACATTCTTTCAACCAGGGTTCTGCTTTTTGTGAATTTGTGCAAATAGGGTCCTGTTATTGAAAAAAACTTTTTCAAGGAGTTTTTAAATTGTAAATAGATACAAGATTATGCTCAACACTGTAAAATTATAATTAAAAAAAAATTAAATTTTCTAAAATAAACAGCAATAATTGCTGTTACTAAGTTAGAGATGCAACACACAAATATTTGGTATTTAGTCTGTACTGTTGAACGCAGAATATTCATTTCGGACGACTAATGGAAGAAGAGTCTGTGGAAGACAAAACTTAATTCGTTTATATCCGTCTTTCTTTTTTTTTCCCTGGGAAGGGTTTATTCAATTAACAAAACAATAATGAAGATAAACAAATTTGTGAAGGGTCCGATTAAAAGATAAATAATTTTGTGAAGAGTCCGTTTTGAAGTTAAAATATTTTGTCCGTAAGGATCCGTTTTTGTGAAAAGATATTTTGTGAAGGGACCCAAATTTCTTTTAAACAGACCCCTGTCTGTAGCAACAGCAGTTAAGCCAAATTCACATGGGTCTAGTATACCTAAGTTTTCTTACGCTAGCAAATGAAAAAAAATCCAGTGGGTTGAGATCCGGTGATCGAGATGGCATGCCACAGGTCCACCGCGACTGCTCCATCGTGCGGAATGTGTGGTGTTTAAGAAGTGTCGAACTGTGCTGGAAAAGTGTTCTGAACGCTCTGTCGCGCATAGGAGACATGTTTTCATAGGCATGTACAAAACGACGTGAGAGGTGATGACTTGTTCATGCTCGATGAAATTTGACTCATCTCTTTTCAGAGTATAATGCGACTTTAAGTCGTGAGTAATCATAATTACGAAACTGAGTTACATAAATCATGATTACAAATGTATTCATTTAATTAAAAATAAAATCTTCAATTAAAAAAAAAAGATGAAAGACATGAAATATACCTCTACATTCTTGACTAGATATTGCTTTGTTACTTTTCGTTGTTAAATCAGATCCACAAGACATGCAACTAAATGAACCTTCATTTGGTTGGAAGAATCCATGTCCACAAGGGCGGCAGAGATTCAGAGAATCATCATAATACGTGCCAGGCATACAACGTTCTAAATTTAAAATAGATACAAAGTATTAAAATTATAAAAGTGCAAATATGATTTTGAATTTTCCGCACTGACAGTCTATTTCAATAATTTAATCTACACTTGGAAATCATTATTAGAAATTTCTTTATTGGACAGAAATGAATGGAATAAGAATTTATGTGTGCCATTTTGTCTTTGATAGATCGTATATCAAATTAAATGATAAACAATGATAGTTGAATACACCCATTAACACTTTCATCTTGGCAATAACGCACCGTATCTTTTCTCGGCTCTTAGAGTTCCAACGCAGCACTCAAATTGAAATAAAACGCGAATTCCTTTAAAACCATTTTATTTTACTTTTAAAAATAATTATCAAATACAAGCAATAACCAAATTAGCTAATGCAATACTAGAGTACAGCGAGTATTTCCGGAAGACGAGTAATCTCGTTCGTCGCGATGAAAGAGTTAATAAAATGGATTGTACCATAAATAATAAATTGATCATATGCAATCTCATGAGGGATTGTATGGTAAAAAAACATCCATATTTATTTTTATAATGCTCTAAAAATTTTGAAATGAATTCTAAATAGTTTATAAAAAAAATGATGGGAAACAAAGCATGCGTATAGCCGACAGTTAAGATTTCTCTTTGAAATAACCATGTTTCAGCCTTTAATCAACAGAAAATTATTATTACAATAAAGAGGAAAAAAAGACTTACGTCTAACGATAACTACCTAATCTGTTTAATTTTTAAGTAAATCTGATCAAATTTGAAGAAGTAATTGAGTCTACAACCCGCGAAACACTGCTTTAAGAAAACGCCTGTCAAGGTTTGAGTACACGTTATCTATCATCGATATGCTGTTTATTGTTCATTACTACTTGTTTCAGTTTATGTTTTTAAAGAATAGTTCTCATGTATGTATAATATCCCAAATACAAGTATATAAAAATTGGGTGTTTAAACATTTTTATTTGGAGATTCAATTTAAAAGATACGAGGTGCGGTGTGGTACTTTTATTTACTTCGCTCTAGAGCTGCGCAATGGGTTGCGATGGTCTGGCAAACACCCCTGAGGATGATCTGGAGACAACATTGCTGATATTATACGTCACATCCCGTTTTACTGGGAGTACACATTCGCACACAATCCATCCATCCGCAGATCGTAATTTTGACCTGATCCGGATCACGAGATCCGGATCTCCGATTGAGAGGTATTGATTTGTTATGGGAACTTGGAGGATTTTGTGACGACGACAAATTTATCGTGCACCAGTCACCAAAATGAAAGAGAGAGATCAAAGAAACAAGGAAATTTACGAACTGATGGTTTTTAACTTCTTCAAGGTCGACAGAATTAAAAAGTGGCTTCCCCAGACCCGCATACTCCGAGAGTATACGCACTAAGGTGTACGTAACGTACTCATACGAGATGTAATACGAGAGTACCGTTGTGAGACAACACCTCTTAGAAGAGAGAAGGCCATAGCAAGGATTATTTTAGTAGTCCGAAGGAACGAACATAAACAACACAGTAAGGGATAATTAGTAAGTTGCCACACTGTTCGGACTACAAGAATGCAAATAAATAATAGGATCAGATTTCTCGTTTATGGTAACTCGTGCGAAGGCCTTCTTTCTTCTGGAAGATGTTGACTGAGATCACGTCCGTGTGATCACCAGGCACATGCGGACGGCACGGCTTGACTCTAGGCTTGGGCCGCTAGAGTCAGGAAGACTCGTTTTGTATAGTACACTACCGTGAGTCGTGAAAAGAAAATCGCGCTATCATGTAAATGTTAAGAATCATCACTCATGCCATGTAAACATCACCCATTAGACAAATAATTTGTATTAGAATTCCTGTTAAATATATTATTAAATAAATTTGAAATCGAAAAGTTCAACTTACCTTTGCATTCATCTATAGATCGAGCACCAATTGATTCCGTGACCCCTTGTTTTTCTCCAATGTTAGGACACGGCTTACAAGTCAGATGACCTGTATCATCTTGGTAAGTGCCAATCGGACAAGAAAGACAGCTTCGACTAGAATTGTCATAATAAGCACCTAAACCACATTCCACTAAATAGGAAGAATAAACTTATACTTATGACATTATTTATTTCAACAAGCATGAAACAGGTTGGTTATTAACGTTCCTAAAAACCTTCATTAATTTATGGGTGACAGTTTTATCTCCGCATATGTCTGTAAGATTTGTAGCGAACGGAGAAAAAGTTCTATTCTTCTTTATGCCCATTAAAAGAATAAAAAAAAAAAAAGAATTCTCAAGATTCAATTTCTCAAAAATTGAACTCTAGATTAAAATCTCAATAGACGCTATTTTATTTTATTTTATAACCAACGTTTAACAGACGACGCTATTCTGAGTTTACTTCTATCAATGTTCAACTCCATAGTCTTGTAATTTTGAACAAAATCCAAAGGAGAAGGGAGCTTATGGATCAAACTTTGAGGCAAACTATTCGTATCAACAAGCCACCTCATTGGGAGGTGCAGATTTATCCCCTGAGCCACCGCTGCTCTAAAATACACTATTGGGACAATTTTATCACCGGCTATTCGTGTAATATATTCAAGGCAGAACAAAAGTGCTCCAGGGCAAAATTTATTGTGGTTTAATTCCTCAAAGTGGAAAAAGCTTTATTTTCATATTTTGCAGAATTTAAGACCCTTTATACAAAAGTGTAGTTTTTAAGAAATTCTCTGCAATTTTCTTTTCTTTTTTTTAAATTTTTTTTTAATTAACACTATATTTTTTGTAAGAGATTTTGGCCTGGCCCTCAGCAGTCCCAACCTCTGAACAATTGTCCCAAACTTGGTGATAATTTTAGAGCCCCTTATCTATTAAGTGGTTTTGGAGCGATAAACGATCATCGTCATATTGTTGAAAAATGAATCCACAGGCATCCAACACCTTCTCAAAAATTGAGGTCGTAACACAAGGCGTAATAAATTCTACGATAATAGGCTTTAGTCATCTCTTGAATTGAAAAACATATATTCCATAAGATCTCAGCAAAATAAAAACTAAGAACTAAAAAGCTCAATAACATAATCATGATTTTATCACTGTCCATGAAACATATGACGTTTTATCTTTTCATAAACTTTAGATCCCACAATAAAGGAGGAATTTGACTTGTCTTTGGAAATAACTCTTTTGGGGCTTGAATTTAAAAAAACATTTCTAATTCTTAAAAAAAATGTGTTCAGAATTTTAATCTACTTAGATTTTTATTTAAGAAAAAGTCTCGCATGATGTTATGAAATAGTCTTGTTGTCTTACCGCAATATGGAGCGACCACCACTTCACCAGCAGGACAGCTGTAATCAGTGATCATATTCAGAGATGTAAGATCCGGCAAAACATTTGGGAGTGTATCATGGATGTCAAAAGCTTGATTCTGAAGGATGGCCGATTCAAGAACTTTCTGTACCGTGGATTTCTGCTGGGTGTTAATATTCACAATAGGATCTCTGTTTGCAAAAGAAATAAAAAAAATATATACATATTGCTACACAACGTATTATATTTTTCAAAGATATTCAGGTCTGAACAGCTGCTTTCGTGCTTAAGAGGACATTATACCACGGGAAAAAATTTTCATCACAAATTCTCCTTTATCTCCATAACTAATTTAAAATTTAAAGTATAGAAAAAGTGAGTTCACACAAACTTAGAAAAGCCATAAGTTTCAATTACTGAAAAAAAATTGAAAATATCAAAATGCAAACAAATGATTGAAAGAGGACTTTCCCATTGCGTAATTCTACTATGTCATCATAATTTATTTTTGTTTTAATATTTTGAAAATTTCTTTTCAGTATTTCAAACTTCACGACTAGTGTCTGAACTCACTTTTTCTGTACTTTAAATTTTAAATTAGTTATGGAGATAAAAGAGAATTTACGAGGAAAATTTTCTCCTGTAGTATAGCGTCTTCTTAAGAACGTGCAAGCTGAGACAAGATTGTTACGGTAACATTTCAAGTTTTTATGAGATTTATTTTTTATTGGTAGTGAATAAAAGCGGGAATTTTTGAAATTGAAAATTTTTTTTAAACAGAACCTAAAAAGAACACGATTTGTCTATCTCACTTCATATATCTGTTTGTTAAAATATTGGAATACTACCTTTGCTACCACTAATAAAAATGTTTTCTAGAGCTACAGAAATTCCGTTGTAGTTGAAGGATGTGAGCTACGTGTAACTTTTCGATTAATTTTCAACTCTAGAAGAAGATTGTAAACATTGGAATTGAAATGGAATTCAAAACCTCTATGAATCTTGTGTGTTGCAAAGATTGAACTTGGCTAAATCTTAAAAAGCTCAATATCAATGTACTATTTTTTAAAAACAATGTTGCATTAGAGCTGGGCGAAATATGGTGAAATATTGTGTTTTTTAAAGTTGTAATAACGGTATTTTAAAACACCATTTTCATTGTATATTATGCTTAACAAGCTCAAGAATCACCATGAACATCGCATGCAATAACTATCAACAACAATAAAAACGTGATCATAATTGACAGCTGTAAGTATTAAATACGATAATATCGCTAACGTTATCGGTTACTGTAATTATCGAATATGATAACATCTTCATTACTATCGGTAATAAAAATTGATTGAGATAATATCGCTAACGTTATCGGTTACTATAATTATCGAATATGATAACATCGTCATTACTATAGATAATAAAAATTTATTACGATAATATCGAATATATTATTTATAACGATACTTAACGAATACGATAATATAGTGAATGTTCATTAAGTTAACAAAAATATTGAGCAATATAAAAATTAAGCAAATTATTTGTCATGAAAAATGGTATTTCCTGACTTTATATCACGATGTTGCACTTTTCGATATATCCAAGCACTATTTTTATCAACACATTGATTTCTAACGAAATATTTTAATTTAAATAATAAAACATTTTTATACTAACTTATTTGCTGGGAAAGATATTTCGACGACATAAAGTTCATTGTTTTCAAGCTGTCTACGCACTCTTGCTTGTTTACAATTGACTTTAACTTTCAGACCATTGCAAACTCCTGGAACGTTATCAGAGCATATTCTCCATTCCCGATTCACACGTTGCAAGTTGTTCTCAATTCTCGAGCGTAGAATTTTTTTGCCAGATTCAGAGCAGACGACAGAAGAGGGGAAATTCATGCCAATCTTGAATATTTTTTGTGCTGGTTTCTTGGCTAAAAATCATAAAATGTAAACAGTTTATGATATATGAAACATTAATTATATGATAATACAAGCCTCGTAGCAGGCCACATAAAAATCGGGACCTTTTCTTTTTTGGAATAGTATACCAGATTACAGTTAAAAAGGACAAACGACAAACTTAAAAAAGTATAATATATAATATGCTCTACTTAAGTTTAAAAAGAGAATTTTACTACAAAAGAGCAATAAAATGAACTATTTTTAATTTCAAAATTACTTCGGTTTAAAATAAAAAGCTTTAACAGCTTACGATATAACTTTATGAATGGAACATTCCATAATGAATAACTCTTTATTTATGCCATCACAGAACTTCAGATATTGCAGGTCTTATATGACTCTAAACATGTTTTTCACCAAATTGTGTTTTACACTAACTTTGAAAGGTCGTTAAATTTTGATTATTGCTTTAAAAATATTTTTTTTAATTGAAGAAAGTCAGTGGAATGTAAAATAACGTAGTTTTTTATTTATTTAAATTTTATGTAAATAAAGTTCAGATTAATTTTTAAAAAAAAAGTTTGACAATATTATCAAAATTATTTGTCTTTAGATAATTGTGATCAGATTTCAAAAATATTTTGATTGTTAAAGGCTTACGATATGCAGAATTGTTTTGCCCGCCATGCAATTTTTTGAAGAGAATTCTTATCTCTGATGTCCTGTAATTACATTTTTAGAAGGAGAAAAGATTGAAAAATCGAAATATAACCTTCGAAACTATACAAAAAATGTAGAACATATTTTTTTCCACATGATTTTTACTGTTATTTGTACAAAAATTCTTAAAAAGGACACGTTTAGCACGTTTTTTTTTAAACACGAAACTCTTGTAATGTGACATTACCCTTTAAAATTAACTCAGATTTAAATTTAAAGAAAAATAAATAAATATTGAATCTTATAAATAATTTTGTTTAATGCAGATGATTCACATTGCAATATAGGATTGAAACAATTAATAAAAAATTAAATAATCAATTTTAAAAAAATAATTGATGAAAATAAAATCATGAATTTAAAAACTAATGACCAATAAATACATATACTAAGAACTAATGACCAACTTTTGGTTTCTTCATATTTGGAGGGAAAGAATAATAATAATTAAAATATTAAAAAAACATTTTAATAACTCACTAAGTAGTTTTCATCAAAATCTACTAGTATTGTGCTTCGCTTTTTTAAAACTTCAAATATTTTTAAAATCATTTCAGAATTTTAATCTACTTAGANTACTGATATTTCATATAAAAATGTAAAATATAGGCCTATTTTAATTTTTTTTAATATAAAAATAGGAAATCAATAGTAGTATATAGGGAAGGGCAAAAGTGTCCTGTAGCCCCCCCCATATACTACTAACGTATGGCACTATTATCGAAATCATTTGTCTTTAGATAATTGTGATTAGATTTCAAAAATATTTTGATTTTTGTTAAAGGTTTACGGAATGCAGAATGCAATTTTTTGAAGAAAATACTTATTTCTGATTTCCTGTAATTACATTTTTAGAAGGAGAAAAGATTGAAAAATCGCAATATAGCCTTCAAAACTATACAAAAAATGCAAAACATATTTTTTCCATAAGATTTTTACTGTTATTTGTACAAAATATTTTAAAAATAACACATTTAGCAAGTTTCTCTTTTTATAAACGAAACTCTTGTAATGTGACATTACACTTTAAAATTAACTCAGACTTAAATTTAAAGGGAAAAAAATAAATATTGAATCAATTATTAAATAATTTTGTTTAATGCATATCATTCATAGCGCAATATAGGATTAAACCGCTTAATAAAAAAATCAATTAAAAAAAATAATTAATGAAAACAAAATCATGAATTTAAAAACTAATGACCAATACATAGCACAACTTTTGATTTCTTCATATTTAGAGGGAAAAAAAGAATAATAATTAAAATATTTAAAAAAAATTTACTAACTCACTAAGTAGTTTTCATCAAAATCTAATAGTATTGTGCTTCGCTTTTTTTAAACTTCAAATATTTTTAAAATCATTAGAAAACTTATTTTTGAAAAAAAGGGTTGAGCCTTACCCGAGCATGCTGGGAAAACTAAGTTAGATCCATGACCAGATGGTGGATGCCAGATCCCTTCAGCTCCACAAGTATAGAATTTGGCGACAGGTTGAGAAAATTCTAATCCTGAATTACAATTAATAGTACAGACTTTAAATCTTCCATTTGGACCCCAATCTGAGCAGTGCCTTTGTCCGTTCACTGGAGGTGCAGGTATCGGACAAAAGTTCTCTGTAAATTTAAAATAAGAGTATTTTTTTAACGAAAATATTTAAGAAAGTGTTCTAATATGATGTGATTTCTGTATCAATTTAAATGCAGTTAAAAAAGAACTGAGAAAACTTATTGACTCACTTAGAATATGAATGCGGAAGTCGCACTTTGCTGTGTTGCCCTCTGCATCTTTGGCAATATATGATAATTGATGAATTCCTCTACTAAGAGTTTGGCCTATTGAATGTGACAGAAATATTTTAATATAATATCATGATGTCCAACATCAAAATCCATTTCAATTAATTAGAAAAATTATTGTAAAATTATTTGTTCAAAAAATTACAGCATAAATTGACCTACTAATATGTAAAAAATTATTTTAACTAGGATTGTTATTTTATTAGTCTAATTTGTTTGGTAAATTTTAAAATTTATATCAATGATTTTACCTGGAGTAATTCCTCTATGCTCCATAACGTATAGAGTTTGCATAGAATCAGTAAAAGATGGTTCCTTCCAACTAACTTGGGCCGTGTTATTAGGAGTAACAACCCATATGTCTTGAGGGCATTCCAGTGGTTTTGGCGGGAGTTTATCATGTGTTTGAACTATACAAGCATCGCCAGTAAAGCCAACCGGACAAATATATTCTCCACATGTTCCAGGTCCTTCACGTTCAACTGTACCATCAACTCTGAAAGTGTTTAAATTTTGTAATTTTTTTTTGTGAAAATATCAATGAAACTAGCTAGTCAATTTTTATCAGTACCGGTATCATAAAATCGAATTTAAACAGCGATTAAATCCTTTCAAAAATCCTTTACCTGTCATAGCCTGTCCATCTCAGTAACAGACCACTATATAAAACTGGAGCACTCTTACAACTTCGGAATTGTATCGGAATTTCATAGGATATATCCAATGGCCTATTCCAAATATTCACTCGGCTAATTCTTCCATGGAATCCAGCTTGTGCTGTTGCTCGATTTTGTTCATCTAGTGGGGAACCAATGTTGACCCAAGCGCTGCAACAGAAAAAGAGATTTTCAAGTGGTAACAAATTAAGTTTTTTCTCTTTAAGAAACTCATTCACAACTGATAATATTTTGCATGTGTTTCAAATCATTGTAAATTACCTACGTCTTCCTTATGACGAACGTAACTCGTCATAAGAAACACTGTAAGATTCAGGATAAGGACTTTTTTCCCTATGTTCGTTATGTACCATGATTCGATTTATAAAAGTTTCTTTAAATAAGACATCCGAATTCTTATCTAGCAACTATACATGTCGCATGGCATGAGCATCAGGATTTAAAAACAGAGCTGGCTCTCGAATTATGATATTTACAAATAAATCGTAAAAGTCTCGATAAATGATTCCACACTCCTATAAGCACTCTGGTAAATTTTTCCACGCGATATCAACTGTAATCGCCTCAATTATTATGCACGCACACACATACACTATTCGAAATTTAGGAATGCTTTGATCCAATTTATCGTTGAAATTTGTTGCAATCTTATTTAGATGTGAAGTTAAAGCATATTATCGTACTTTTTTTAGCTTGATTACACGATAGAATGGTTTAACTTGGCAAAAACATGGTTCAATTTAACAGATTAAGCTTTGCAGTAAATTTGTATCGTACAATAATTTTAAGTACCGTTATGATGGTTTAACGCTGATCCTAATTTTCTGTGGGTGTATGTATTTTCCCCCGAAAAAAACGAGAAAAAGATTTAATTTTCTTACGAATAATATTCAAAAGCGTAATAAAATAAATTTAATCATTTGTTTTAAGAACGAAATCTGAAAAAACTTACTGTTGTGGTAGAGATAAACCTTCTCCATATCCATTCACTGTACCAGCCACAGCTGCATCTGTAATCAACGAAACAGTTCCGGTTTCTCCGTCCCACATGATGACCAAATGATGCCATTGTCCATCATTGATCGGCACATTTTTTAGATAGGGTATGAAAGTATCCGGTACATCATCAGAAAACAGAGCTACTAGAACACCTGCTTGATCAGCTTGAAGGAGAATCTTTTTTCCAACTGGCAAATGCAATGATCTGTAAAAAAATATAACAATTTATCATATATATGCCATCTTCTCAAATATTAATCATATTTGTAACATGGCTAAGCCATGCTAATGCTAGTTTTAAAAAATTAATAAGGGTTTCTAAGGGTTTTCATAATGTATTCAATCAATACAGAGGCACGTGTTATGATATTTTGAGTTGAATTTTAATTTAACTACGCATAACTTAATTTTGCTACATCTACACATAAGCTATGGGTAAAAAAAAGGTCGATATGGAGATAGAGAATTAGATACAGAGATAGGGATAGATAGGGAGAAATAGAGATTGAGATTGATAGATAAATAGAGATCGATGGATATAGGTTGATAGAGAGATAAAAAAAGGTTAGAGATAGATAAAAAAGTTAGAAATACTGAAAATTTAATATTAGAAACAAGCAATTTAAAAGTATTAAATGTCATGATTCTAAAATAGGTATTCTCAAATATTGAGTCTCATATTTCTGCGAATTCTAGGCTTATATATATTTTTTTTAGAATTTTTGGCACTTATATGGAATATTAAACATAGGGCTTGGACTCAAAAATTTCCGTTAGATCTTGCAGGTTCGGATTTTTATAAAGACTGAAAAGTAAACTTCGTTTTTGTTGCCAAAAATTTCAACAAGCTCTATTAAAATTCAAAATATATTACTTACTCAACACTGTAAAGAGTGAAGAAGACTCCAGCTGATTCATGATTGTTGAATTGAATCCATAGTGCCACAGATAAACTAGATGTTCCCAATTCAAATGGAGCAGCCAGTGCAACGCTTGATGATTTGCTCTCATCATTTATGTAAAGGTCATAATCGATACTAATAGCTGTTTAGAGGATAAAATTATTATTAATATTGAAGAAAACTGGAAGAAAATATACAGAGCGTTCTCTAATTACCAAGTAATTTTAGAATCTTTGTCAAAAATGAGTTATTAATTTACAAAATGTAGAAAATTTAAAACCTTCCTGCATTTCTTTGCTATCCTGCATTTCTTTAGTTGAACTGCTCTTCAATGCTATCAAACTATTTCTAAAGATAGGATTTATGTTTTTAATGAAGAGAGTTTGCATTGATTTATTATTGTAATATTTCATAAATATGTAAGAAAAAAATGATTGACTTGTGTGCCTAAGAGTAATTTCTAAAGACTTAATTTTTTTGCTAAGATTCTAAAACGATATGTATTAAGGCTGGTGATTATAGAACACTATGTAAAAAAAAGCAATGAATAAGTATTACTACATACGTTTTCTGCAATCTTCTCCAGTAAAGTTAAAAGGACATTTGCAGTAGAAAGCATTTGTTAGATCGATGCATTGAGCAGTTGGAGGACAAGAATTGGGCAAGCAATCCGGAATGTCGTTCTCGCAATACTGGCCAGTAAATCCTGGCGGACAAATGCACTTAAATTGTTCACCCATATCCTCGCAAGTAGCACCATTCTGACATATGTTCTCTTCGCATGCATCATAATCAAGTTGACATCCAAGCCCAGTGAATTCAGCAGGACAAGTGCAGTTGACACCGCTTCCATAATCATTACATATTCCTCCATGCATGCAAGGAGTTCCAATGCAACGTTCCGGTGAGGTCTGGCAACGTTTTCCATCAGTGCCAGAAGGACATCTGGAACGAAAACAGATTCAATAAAAATTTATTGAATTAAAAGAGAAAATGCATTTTGTTATAAACCAACTTTAATGGTTCTGTAACGTATCAAGCTATATTAAGAAACAGTTCTTTGTTTTATTAAAAAAACATTTATTTCACACCACAACAAATACAGTAACGACATTAAATTACCCGCAACGGGTTATAGTATAAACATCAAATTCAAAAACAAAAACTACTCTCCAAAATATCAACAACTCTCTGTTGTTCCATCAAAATTGTTATTCTTATTTTATCGCTTGCTTTTTTCTTTTATTTATCTCTTTATGTGTTTATTTTATTTTATTCATGCTTTTGCAAGCCCGTTATTTTTTTAATATTTTTACTTTTATCAATGCTTTTGCTAGCCAATTATTTTTTAATATTTTTAGACTTTATAGAACTTACACGCAGAAATAGTCCAAGAACAAGTCGATGCACTTGGCGTTATTCAAGCAAGGTTCATTGTTGCAACCACCGATGTCAGTTTCACAACGTTCTCCTGACCAGCCTTGTGGACACTGGCATCTAAATCCGTTCACCGTATCAGTGCAAATGCCATTATTCATACAAGGATTGGACATACATTCATTGACATTAAACTGAAAAATAACAAATTAAAAATATGTTATCAATAATTTTTTTTAAACTAAGATGGATGAATACAAGGATCAATACAAGCAAGATGGATAAAGTTAAACACTTTATACACTTTAACATACAGTCATTCATTAGAAATGGGTAACAACGTATGAATAGTCGAAAAACAGTAACATATGTTAGATAGTTGTAAATAGTTTATTGGAGGATTTATGAACTTTATAAGCTTAGTTCCGTAGAAAAAATTTCTTTAGTTTTTGTGGTACGTGTTATATTTATGACTTTATTTGTACAATTATTATTTAGTCATAATCTCTTTCTATCAATGTTATGAACATTTAGTTATATAGTACTTAAATAGTATCGATATATGAGTTTATTGTATTGTCAAAACTAGAACCTTGACTTATGAAAATAATTGAAATTTTTAGTTAATAGAGGTTCATAATTAATATCCTCGAATTTCATTGATCTAACACGAAAATTAAGTTTAAATTTGATTATCAAATTTAAACTTAATTTTCCTTCATCTAATCTTCTAATTCATGCATTTTGACTTTTTATTTGCCGATGTTATATCGTGAAGTGAAATCATATTACTCTATCACTTTTCCACGTTATATCAGATTCATAGTGATATCGCAGGTTCTATTTGCATGATTAATTAATTGCATGTGTTTGATGCACGATAGTGTGTATCGGAAATCATATCGCGACAATGTGTATTAAAGTGATGTTTTGACTACGCATTTGAACGATTGATCAACCGACTAAAATAAATTAACCATTTTAATCATTTTCAAAGAAAAAAAAGCACGTATCCATTATTCAGTAAAAGCTTGCACTCATATATGTATATGCTCATATATGATTCTGCATTCTGATAATACAGAAACAATCGTCTGTCTCTGGATCTCGTTTATTTGCTTTAGCACGCTATTTCTGTTTTATTTCTAATTCGTATTGTTAAACAATTTTAACAAAAATAAAGATCTTAATTATAATATGAGTTACTTGTACTATTTATGCGATAAAAGTAGATTACCTCACACAGTTCTCCAGTAAATCCAGGATTGCACGTACATTTGAAAGAATTATCCATATCAACGCAGCGTTCTGTACCACTTGGGTTGCAAGGACTACTTATGCATTCATCAACTTCAGCTTCACATTGCAAACCAACGTAGCCTGGGCGACATTGGCAAGCAAATCCATTAATGAGATCGAAGCACGTACCACCATTTTGGCATGGCTTAACTTCGCAAGCGTCAATAGCATGCTGGCATCTTGAACCAGTGAAACCAGGTTCACATTGACACTTGTAGCTATCGATCAAGTCAATGCATTGTCCACCATTTGAGCAGGGATTATTGCTGCATTCATCAATATCAACCTCGCAAGAAGGACCAGCCCAGCCGGGATTACAAATACAACTATAATAGAACAAATGATCTACACATATACCATTCACGCAAGGATCATAGGCACAGAGATTGTATTTCATTTGACATCTTTTCCCACCAAATCCAGGAGGACAGTCACACGTGAAATCGTTTACTAGATCTGTACAGTTTGCACCCAGTAAGCACGGTTGTTCAGCACAATCATCTAATGAAAAGGATACAAAATTTAGAGTGGTTTTTGGAATTATGAGCGAATAATTTTTTTAAACTGTTGAAATTTGTACTTAATTATTCTGTATTTAGTTAAAAATTCACATTTTTGAAACATTGAATATATAAAGTGTTTGGTAATCATCACTTATGATATATATTTTTAGAATCTTTGTTAAAAAGGAAGCGAAAATTCCATACTCGTCAGAGGCAACCCCTCCTACAAGAGAGAGGCCTCTGCACGGATCAATTCAGTAGTCCCATGTAACGAATATAAACTGCGCAGTGGAGTTCAAGTCATTTTTCAGTTTTAACACTGAAAAGGGGTAAATCTACCTTTATACTTTTCGTCTTCTAACACTTTTCAGTTTTAATTGAGAATCTAAAATTTTATCTTAAGGGTGGTGATCACAAAATACCCTGTATGTTTTTTTAAAGCAGGCAAATTCTAATAAATTGTTTATAAGGGTACAGATATGAAATGGCCCTTATTAAATAAGTTACTAAAATAATGAAACATTAATATTCAGTTTAATTGTAGACATATATTTTTAAAAAAATATGTTAATTAGCGTTACTCTTACAAAAATATAAGGAATTTTTGAGGTTTATTTGAGGTGTCAAGGTTGATTTAAGGTTTATTTGAAGTTGATTTTAAAAACAACCTTAAAGATCAATCTCTCAAGGTGTATAATCAAAGTGTGTAATTAAGGTGTATGAAGTTGTTTTATTCATACATGAGGTTGTTGGAAATCTACTTTAGAGAAAGCAGCTTTGAGAAGTTATTTTTGAGTTGCACAAGCTATTTTTTTTACACTTCAAGCGAATAAGTATATTTGAGGTGTGAATAATTTCGCCCAATCTCAACTAAAAGTATTGCTGAGTTACATATGAGGATGATTTTATGAGGTGTAAATGAGGTTGAAATTGAGGTTTATTAATGAGGTTTTTTTTGTGTAAAACATAACCTCATTTTCTACCTCGGGTGTATTTTTTTTTACATCTGCAACCTCAAAAACATCCTACTTTTTTGTAAGGGTATTGAAACAAAATTAAAAACATCTTTATACCAATTTTAATTAAAAACTGTAAAAGTTTACCTATATTTATTTCACATGAAGGACCAGTTAAGCCAGGAGGACAAATGCATTTATAACGCCCCTGCAATAGAGGTTTGCAAGTAGCTCCTCCCAGACAAGGATTCTCTCCAGAAGTGCAAGGATTAACTGTCACGTTGCAAGAAGGTCCTTCATAACCAGAGCGGCAGAGACAATTAACTGTTCCTTGTCCCGGTAAATCTTGACACATGGCTCTTTCTGGGCAAGAGCCATTCTGACATTCAGACTGTTCCAACTGGCACTGCAAACCAGTGTAACCTGTAATACCATAAAGTAATTTTTACTGAAAGAACTATCGAAGCATATGAAGCATGTTTACTTATCACGAGAACGTTAAACGTTAAGTAGATAAGCAATGGATAATAATTTTAATTAGCTTTCAAGCTCAGACATTTAAAATATTACGTTTTATTAATTTCAAAACCAAGTAATTACATTAATTTGCAACACTTACCATTTGAGCATAAACATCTGTATCCTTGAGGAAGATCAACACAAGTTCCACCATTGTAACAAGGCCTGCTTGCACACTCATCTATGTCAATTTCGCAGAATTGTCCAGTAAATCCAGCTGGGCAGTAACATTTTGGAAGATGCCTTTGAACCAAGCATACACCACCATTCTGGCAAGTTTGAGCATTACATTGAACTGAAATAAATCAGAATTGAAATTTCCTCGATTTCTAACAATAAGAATTTCTGTTTCTGTCCGTTAACCCTAAGAAGACGATTGACCTTTGAAGAGTTTATTTAGACGCGAGAATGTCATTTTGCTGATAACTGTCATCGTGTCTTTTTTTAAGTTCCTGCGTTATCCCTATTAGCTAATAAACTCTTACCATGGTTTGGATACAATCTTCTTTTTACGGTGAACGGACAGTAGAAAAAAGTATAGTACTGATTAAAATGTAATGTTATTAAATAGCAAAAATTGTACCTGGAATGCAGGCCTCAGGACTAAGTGCTCCTGGTCGTAAGGTTCGATGATTTGCTGCACATTCGATACAAGCTGTCTGACCTTCTAATGGTTGGTAGAAATTCGTTGGACATGGTGCACATGGTTCTAATCCTGTCTCTGAGTAAGTTCCCGATGGGCACTGAGCTGTAAATAATACGGATCATTTACTATATTCCTAAACAAAATTAATTTAACCAGAAACGAAATCAATTTAACCAGTTCGCCAAATCATTTTAAACATATATGAAAATGTATAATGCAAAACTTGGGTTGATTAAATCTTCTAATTGTTATATTAAAAATGAGTAATTTTTTTTAATATAGTAGGTAATTTCAAACTTTATTGAATTTCATAAATATTTAATGTATCTAAGAACAAAACACAATCAGCCTAAAAGTAAATGAACTAATTTTGCTATTAATTTTCTATAAATAGCTATAGAATTTAATCAGCTGCGTGCCCTTGATTTATATTCCGTGTATTCATTATTATGTTATACGCTTTTTTCCTTCCTTTATTATAACTGTAATAAATATCTGGAAGTACAATGAAAATGAGCTCATAAATTCTTAAGTTAATCTATTTACTCATTTAGTTAATAAGTGCAAGATTGCTTAAGTTTTGATGTTTTTGAACAATAATTTTTTTTTCAGAGTAACTAATATCACAAAATTGCACTTATTTATTCTTTGCTTAGTTTGTTTAAAAAAGTTTAGGGTTTTAAAGTTACCTCTGCAATCATCTAGAACTTTAGAGCCAGGTGAATAGGTCAGAGTATTTGCTGGACATCTTTGGCATTCCTTGAAACCTTCTCTTGGTGGTAAAGAGCTGAAAGTATTGCTAGGACATTGCAAGCAAGGAACCAAACCAGTTGGAGAATACGTTCCATATCCACATACAGCTGTAAAAAATAAAAATAGTGATTATATGTTTAACATAGATTTTTCCGAATTTAATTATCTCAACTATTTTTCAGATTCACTAACAAGAAAGTAAAGATTTCGGGTGCAACATTAAAAAATTCTTGCTTATCTTTACGATTCATATTTACTAAATCTATAATTCATTTCCGTTTAAGTTTTAGTATTAAACATTTTTTTCAAATCATTTGTATTTAATGCCTTAAAATAGATCTTTTAAAAGCATATGCATGATAATAATATGACTACTACCTATGATTAACCATAGTTGGGTTTTTTTTTTATTACAAATGTCCTTTATTCAATTCTTATTTCAAACAAGTGATCATTTTGAAAAACTAAATAATAAAACTGTCAGAAGTTGAAAGTTTCTTTTTCTTGCTTATATAAAATGCTGATTAAATTTGTATATTATTTCTTAAAAGAAGTCCTCTTATAATTAAAATTCTTTGTTTCTAGAATTTGCATTACAAAAATAAATCACAGAGGGAATAAGAGTGCTAAAGCAAGTTACTCAAACTTGCTAAAATTGTTAAACATTTTAAGATATTTAGGTAAAATCCTGCAAGTCAACGATTGCAACTAACTTGCCATCGTAGAAAATGTTTTAGTAAAACTTACTAGTAACAACCGGAGGGTAAAATCTACAATTTCCTAGAGGGTAAATCTTCTATGGTTAACCCGATGGCAGTTAGACTTAATTTCGTTTATTACCGCGGATATTTTGCTCTCTAGAACTGGGATGTGTGTTATTCGAGAATGATATACAAATCAACCAGGCGTAACCGAGATTCGAATACGGGCTGGTCATTTTTGTGAGAAGCAAATACTCCACACCAGAAAATATTAATATAATTTTGTAAACGAACTTACGTATGCATTCACCGAGACCTTTACTGCCTTCGTATCTTGTATACATTCCTTCTGGGCACCGTTTACACGAGGCTTGGCGTACAAGATCTTGGTAGAAACCTCTTGGACAGAACAAACATTCATTCTTTTTCGAAGCATGTGTTCCAGCAGGGCAATGCACTACACAAATATGAAAAAGAATTAGCTGTTATATGTATACTTATTGAAATATAACATTGATCTATATTTTAATGGACGATTCAGAAGTATTTTTTTTGTTGATGTTATGTGATTAAAAGTAAGTCAAACTCACAACAACGAGGAACTTGTCCTTCGCCTATGTTGGTTAGAACTTCTCCATCTTCACATGCAAAGCCTCTTGCTACAGAAGATCTGATGGCCTGTAAACCTGGACATTGAGGATTTGCCAAGTTCAATGACGAAATATTTAATATAGGTTCTATAATAGCAGATGTGCTTGGTACACTTAAGTCAAATATCAACCCTAGTGTCGATCCACACAGATCATATAACAATGTTTGTCGTACAACAGGATCGATTCTAATTGTATAGGCCAGCACAACCTGAAACAATCATAATCATCAATTTATGTAAAGTTATTATAGGACATAGTTTAACCTTTTGCTTAAGGCTGGTACAACATGTGTATAGCATGTGATGGTACATCATAGTACCCCGTAAACAAAGGGTAAAACTAAGAAAGAAATATAGGAGAAGCTTTTCATAGGACAGAGTGATGTTACCTCATTATCAGCTTTCAATCTCACAGATGTGTTGTGGAAAGTAATGTCCATTTTCACATTTATAGCTGAGCAACGTTCAGATAGTACTTGGTTTAATGAAGTATAGTGGGATCGGAGGTATACGATGTATTGATTCAAACATTGAGCAGAAACGGGTCCTTCAGAAGAATAATCAACTGTAGCCATTACATCATATGCTGCTTGATTTGTATCTGTAAAAAAAAATCATTGAATATATAAACTTGGGCGATTTAAGGGAAACAAATAGCTAATATTAAAGCGAGGAAAAAACAAAAACGGTGTTGAAATCTATGTACTAGGTAAGGAGACAGAGATGAGAAGCAACAAAACCGGTTTGATTGCCTGATTAAACATTGAGGAGTTTTTTATAATTGCTTTCTATATTCTATCTGCTTTCTTTGGCTATCAAACTGGTTCATCTGTCTTCATTCCCGGCTTTCTCATTTATGATGATTTCGATTATTTTGCGATGTATTCTTTTTTTACTTCATTTTTGACAAGGATTCCAGAAATAACTATTAAAGGGGATCATTACGGGAACACTTTGTATAAATGGAATGAAAAGCCAAAGTTTTTAAAATTTTTCCTCAGTCAAAACCGAAAATTTAACATCAAAATAACAAAACATAATTAAATATAAATACATAAACTCATAATAAAATTCAGAATTTTGATTTTTTTATCACTAGGCTATTATATTTCACCTCTCAATAAATTCAATTAATCTGAATTTAATCTGCTAGTTCCAATATACCATAAAATATAAAAGCTTAAATCAAATTTGCAGGACCTGGAAATTTAAGATATATATTTCTCTTAAACGAAACAAAAGAAGTCCTTATTTCTTTTTTTCGCGCTGGCATAGAAATATCAAGTGTGTGAGCTGTCATTATCATGAAAGCGTAAACATGCATATTTACAAATTTCTAAATGAAAATCCTTTTCTCGCTAGGACAACGAAAAGTTGAAACCAACTAAGTTATAAGTTAAAAGCGGATAGTTCATATCAACAAAGTGCTCGATATTAAGTTTAAATTATACTTAAGAAGGTTAAATAATAATAATTTTATTTAATGCTATTGTAATTGATTGAAAAATGAATGTTAGTCGTTCTGTGACACTTTTTAAGATGATAAAAAAAGCGTGCTCGAGGTGCCGAAGAAAGCGTGGACGATAGTTATGAAAAACATAACATTAAAAGAATGCGCAATAAATGTGCCATCATACATGTTGTTTTTTTAAAGCATAATTAATGTTGTGCTTTTGCAAGTTTTTCTATTGCATGTCACATATTTCAATTTAAACTTTTTTTATTTCAATAACTTATTGACTAAAAATTAGTTTTTTGAGAGAGAAATTAATTTTAAAAGATTTTCAAGTCATGTTTAAATTCCATAGATTTTACGCTAGAACACATTTCAAAGGGGGTTAAACTTAGTAATGAGTGAAGCGAGCATGATTAGCTAAACAAACCATGTTTAAGTTTGCATAGCAATCTTCCGGGGGGCTGGGGAGCCCTAGCGAACATTACTCTCAATTTTTGAGTTTTAAACTTGCGAATTAAATTAATATTTTACACTTTAACGCATTTCATATGGGTTTTACTCAGTAGCGTGGGAACCGAACATGATTTCCAAAACGAACCATATAAGATTTAATAGCAATCTTCAGGTATTTGTGGGCATAGAAAATCAGGGGTCGGAGTTCACTAGTTTTTTTTTAATGTATGTGCCTTACGATTGAAATATTAAAGAGTTTTCAAATTCAAATTAATAAATTAACTTTTAAACTACTATAGCCTTCCTGTTGTTCAAATATACAAGGATTTCGATACTGTTCTGTAGTTCATTTACGTCGCACTAGAGCTGCACAATGGGATATTGTTGATGGTCTGGGAAACATTCCTTAGGATGATCCGAAGACATGCCATCACAATTGTGATCCTCTGCAGAGGGGATGGCACCCACGCTTCGGTAGCCCAACGACCAGCACGCGAAGTCGAGCACTTTACGATAGAACAGTTTAACGAAGACCAATACCGCACACCCTCGCTTCCTACGCAGACTGATCCAAGTGGTCAACCACCAGCACACTGACCTCAGCCAGTGATGCTTGACTTCGGTCATCTGCTGGAAACCGTGTCTTAACGATCAGTCCACTGCGGGGCAAGGATTTAGATACACGAATTATTCAAAAGTTATAAAAAAAGTTTATTATTACCTTCAGGTACGCAATCAGGCACAATATTAGTCGGTGACCATTGTTGACCGCTCACACATGAAAAGGTTTTGGCTTGCTCGCCATCAGTGAACCTGAATCCAGTGCCGCAAGTGGCAAGACAGCGAAATCCATTTCTTTCTTCATTTGGCAAACAATTGACAATCCCATCAACAGGTGGTCTTAGAGACCACGCTACGCATGTGGAAGGTTGCACTGCGACTTGAAAGTGGCAAAAAGCTGAGTTTCCATGCACATCCGTTGCTGTTACAGTGACATTGCGAAATCCCCATAGAGGTATTATGGCAGTTTCAGGAGATAAGGTTATGGTGACAGGTCCAGAAGCATCAGTGGCGTTTATGAGGCGTCGAGTGTCGTTAAAATTGACGGCATAACTTTCTTGTTCTTCTACGAGTTCTACTACATAAGACTGGGGACAACTTAAGAATGGAGGTGTATAATCTAGAATAGTAATACATGTTTTAGATATAGTTTCACACAAAAAAATTTGACTCCATAAACTTACTATACACCTAAACAATAAACGAAAAGCATTCTTGGCATTTTTGAGTTTGATAATCAGAGGATTAAACATGAATAGACGGGTAGGATCATATTCGTGAATTAATTTCGAATGATAGATTAGATTTGGAATGTTGTTATCAAGAAAAAGTAAATTTTCAGAAAAATTCCAGCAAACAATGTTGGAGTTGTGGTTGTAAATAAATATAACTGATTTACGTAATACATAGTAATAAATTCACGTATATTTTATTTGAAATTGTTTTTAAAAAATAAACTTGCTGTTTAAGTCGACAGCTGAAATTAATTTTTCCTACCTCATTAATATTTGTGTGCCTATATGCTGTGCATAAAAAAATTTAATATGTTAAAGTTATGTCTTTTTGGTAAAAATGTATACGTTTTAACATATAAGATCTAAACATATAAGTTTTAAAATCAATACTCTATTTAAATCTATTGAATTATCTGTTGCTAACTATTTAGCTCTTAGAAACCTTTGTCAATAATCCTCCCAATTTTCTTAATGTTGTTAGACTCTTATTTATTTTTAAATGAATAAAAAATGTTAATTGTCTATGGAAAAAAGGCTCATTACTTTTTACAAAAATTATTTACACAAAATATTCTTAAGTACCTGGTACAGTGATATTGACCACGCATGAAGCAACATTTCCGTCCGTATCATGGGCAATATATTCAACACTCATATCTTCCACAACAACAGCTGGTAAAGAGAAACCAAGAGGCCGAACCTCAAATCTTGCAATATAGCCAGAGTTGTCCACAGCTACAGGTACTGAAAAATTTACTGGGAGTAGGCCAGATATCGTCCTCGTCACAACAATTGGTTTTGTTGGACAGTTGATAAACTGCGGCGGCTCTTTATCTGTAAACAGATTAAAAAAAATCATTAAGACATGAATCTAATTCATTTACAACAAGCAGTATTATGATATAAGATATTATTTTGAGAGCCGTTCAAAAAAATTATTTTATTTATAAATATTCAAAAAAGTCACAAATTCTTTTTCTAATTTGTATTTTACAAATTATTTCTCTCTCATTTTCAAATACATTAGTGTCCTTTAAATTTAAAAATAAAACTTAATTAAATCATGAAAGCTTCACTATGCTAAAGAAAGGTTCTTCGTCGTGGCTATTTGATGTCAATTATTTAAATAATACCTGCAAAATTCTATTGATGGGATTTATAGAGGATGGAGATTTGAAACTACTCATATTGAAATCGATAGATTCCAGCTAAACTGAGAAGTAAATGTGGTAGACGCGCAATGTTGACTTCATTGCCATCATACCACTGTGATATCTAAAAACTTTCATGACCATCTTGTCCGATAATTAACTGTTGACGGAGAACCTTTTGTGTTTAGTAATAAAGTTTGGTGATATATTACTATTTTGGGAAAAATTAGGTTATATCTTTTATTAGGTTAGATTATATATATTTTTTCTATGAATTGTTTAGTGTTCCACTGTTAGTTTGGCTGATCTTTAAGCGTTTTTTACTACTAAACATGATACATGATAAAAAACATATGTACTTTTACGTACTAAAAATGTATTTATTTTTACGAGCTTTTCTTTTGTTGAGAATATAGTTTCTTTTAAAGAATGAAATAATTGACTTCTTAAACTCTTAATTTATGGGAATATTTTATTATTTTCAATCGATAAACTTCTGCCCTTGATCTCGAAACAGCGACAAAGTTTCAATTTAGTTTTACAGGCTTTTTTTTTTTGGAAAATGTATTTTCTTTTCAAGAATAAAATAATTGACTTCTTAATCTCTTAATCTATAGGAATTTTTATTGTTTCTAATCAACAAACTTCTGCCTTTGGTCTCGAAACAGCAACAAAATTTGGTAACATCTAAAGAGTTCAAGAATGGATGGTTTCGCGATCTTCCACTGAGTTACAACTGAGGATCGCATTTAGAAATGTGTTCAGGCATTTCTTGTCAGTAATTCAACGTGCACAAAAAACTGTTTCAAAGTTTACAACAAAATGTAGGATGTTTAAAGGGAAATGTAGATTAAGTAGGATGCATATTTACCTATGCATACTGGATATCCTGAATGGTATCCTAGAAGTACAGGTTGCTTTGTTTCCTCACATCCTAACAGCTCGAACTTTAGGCATGGATTCCTATTGTATGACACGATTCCTAAAATAACGTATCTTGCTTTGACACTCAACGGTAACTGTATGACAGAGACGGCACCAAAGTTTCCTTCATTGTCGGTCAAGTTGAAGTTCTGAAATGAAATATGGTATTAAAGGATATGCGTTTTTGATATTAAATATTTCACAAAAAGAAACTAATTTGTCTTTTTTCAAGACATGACAATGCATAAGAAATCTATATGAAGGAAGTTTCTCGTGGGTAATAAAAATCTTATTATTAATATTACCAAGTGAGGATCGTGTTTAAGATAAGTGACAATATTCAGCGTCATTATCAAAATTACACAATTTTAGGAAGCTTCTTCGCTGCCTTCAACTCCATATAATAAATATATAAATTTTTTTATTACAGTTGTTGAACAGCCGACCCAATTTTTGGGTTTACGACTGCAAATGTTCAACTCCGTAGTCTTGTAATTTTGAACCCAATCCGGAAGACAAGGGAACTCCTGGAACAAGTATCGGGAGAATTTGCCTTCGCGGAGGACTTTTTAATGGAACTTAACCACATTTGCGTTACATGAAGAGGAGGACCAAGAGAACCTCCCGTGATTAGCCTGACGGAAAAGGAACTCTAACCCATGAACCGTCTACCACGGAGGATACTTCACGTCAGCATTGTGATCTGTGCAAGCTGGATACGGATTCGCATTGATCAGCTATCGCTGGGATTCGAACCCGGCTCACCTCATTGGTAGGCGAACGCTATATCCCCATAGGCATCACGGCTCATACAATAAATATTAAAGAAGAACTGATATTTAACTTCAAGAAAACTAACACTTGTAGTAAATGACTTCGAAGCTGCTATTTTTTATGCAAGTGATGAAGCCGAAGACGACGTTGGTTTTCTTCTTGAAATTACCGTTTTAGAAATCATACCAGAATTAAACTCAATGTAGAAAAATTGGCTCAAAACTGAACCATAATACTCATACTCTGAACCCTACTGAAGTGCAAATTTGTTGTTAAGTAAAGTTTTACGATAAACCATGTATCTGATTCAATTGAACTCCTTCTATGTATCCTCTATTTGCGTAAGAAATATGATTATATGGTTCAACTTATCACCATATTAAGATAGCAGTAAATTTGAACGATATTATGGTTCAAATGGCTCCAAATTTTTAACAGCGAACTGAGATACATTCGGTGAAAGATATTTTACATTATAACATCTTTTAGGTCTTGACTCAAAAAACCCTACTAAACAAACGATATATAGCACTTTTGAGGTAAAAATTGAAATTGTAAGGCAAAAAAATTTTTTTTCTTTTTGTGCTGAATAAATAAAAGTTTTTAAAAAATTGTACGAATTGTAAAGATTTAATGATTTTTAAAATTTTAACCAATTACGAAAAAATACAATTTGACAATTCATTTTTCCACTGTATCCAATTTCTAACCCCAAAAAAGTATTTCTTTTTTGTTTTTGTTGCTGGTGTCAAAATGTTCGAAAGAGGAAATAGAAAATATATATACATTCTCAGAAATATTTTCTTAATGTTGAACTGGAAAAAAAATTCGAATATGCTGTAACTTTAATAAAATGTCAGTTGCCCCATATTTCCGTTCAATTTGAACTTTAGTATCGTACAATCAAGTTTACGAAGTCAAGTATCACTTTAAGAAGCATGATAATATGGTTCAACTTAGCATCATATTAAGGTTGAAATAAATTTTATGATCCAAAATTTTTATCAGTGTTTAGAATTAAAATAAAAATTATAAAAAATATTTACTTACCGGAAAGTAAACAACAAAGTTATCTGATTCTTGAACTTTGTAGAAGAAACGAATTTCAGTAGGGCGTCCTACCACATCATTAGTTATCACACCTTTAACTAGCAAAGCCGTTATGACGAATGTTCGACCCAAATCAACTGTCACATAGGTGAATGGTTCCGTTTTCCCACACCACCCAGTAGCGCTGTTCAATCGGATATTCTGCACAGACGAAAAAGAATTTTCATGTATCATCTGTAATCAAATATCATTTGATATTTTTACTTTCTTTAAATAGGATGAATTACTTACCCTAGCTTCATAATTAAGTCTTTGAGATGTTGCGTTTATTGCAGAATCAGGTATGGCTCCACTGGATAATCCAATAGGTCTAACAACCTTACACTCAGCATCTATAACAATAAAAACAAATGTATTTTAGAATTAAGTGTCATAAATATGAAAATAGTATAAGATTTTTATTGCAAGCAACCCCTTCCCTAGCAATCGAACTCAACCATTAGAGTGGTATTGACGAAAACTAGATTTTAAACATGTTTGTAATGATTTTTGATTTAAATTTTAATGTATAAGCTAAAAATACTAAACTCAGTGGTGCGACAGCCCATAGAGGGCCAATGCCTACTGTGCCCAGCTCAGTTTTCTTGACCTTGGGCTCTGGGGTGCAGGAGCAGATGTTCCGGTCAGGTGGTCAGCCGAACGCGGAACCCCCAGTGTTTAGTTCCCAATCATGCTTGGTACTCATTTATCGACCCACTGAAGGGATGAAAGGCTGAGTCTACCTTTGCCCGGCCCGAGGATCGATCCAGGATCTGTGGCAAGGGAGGGCGAAGCGCTACCACTCAGCCACTGGGCATCAATGTATAAGCTGATGACTGATATTTTCTGGAATTTGTAGAATCTCTTAAAACATATTGTAACATGTATGAGTGAGAGATGTTTCTTAACTGCCGGCAGGATTCGAACCAAAAGTCCCTGGGCTCGCAATCGGATGCTCTTTGCACCATACATCCAGGGCGAGTTAGGGAAGCTTTATGTATAGTGGCAGCCGCACAATGTTACTTTTTTCAAAACAATCCCTCCAAAACAAGTCATCTGGTTCTTAACGGGTCACGGACCATTTCCAACCTTCTTTAATTACCTGCATATAACAGATACTCATCTTTGCACCTGCGGCCAACAAGGTTCGCCTGAACATTATCTCACTAGTTGTTCCTACGCTGTCTCCTGGCATAGTCGTCAACCTAGCCCAACAAATTTAGAAATTTGGCAGAAACCTTTTATTACAAACAATACTTTAACCAAAAGATTAATAGCAGTAATGAACTTCTTAGCGGGTAATGACTATCTATTAAAATTTTAATAATTTCCCATTTCACATGTATAATATTTTTTTTGTCTTATTTCTTCTTAAATTCCACACTTTCAGTAAAATCTTTTTTTTTTAAATTTTTTTATTTATTTATTTATTTTTAAATATCATGTTATTTAGGCTGGAGTGGAGCTGGACCAGTGGCCAAGTCCTGGGCTATATGGTTAAGTGTTTTCATAACCTAAGTACATGCTCAGGGCTTGGAGGAAAAGAAAAAAAGTGGCCGCCGCACAGTCCCCCTCCAGTGAGCGAGAAATCTGACTCGTTGTCAGTGGTGAGCGTCTTACAAGAGGCCGCGTGACCTTACAAGAGGCCGCGTGACCATCAGTGAAGTCGTCCTCCCAGTGCAGTTCGGGCCTTGGCGATATGGACACAGGCATTTTGCTTGCCGAATCAAGGCGAACCGTTGAGCGTCGTAACGTAGTGTGCCATTTGCCGAGGTATGAGACAGTTTCGCTCCGTGTTCGAGTGTTCGTAGTGACTAATGTGGAGGATAGTGACGAGGGAGGTGTTTGTTGGGTGCTGGCAGGATTTGAAACAAGGTAACTTAGGGGTCGCAGTTAGATGTTTTAATCACCGTAAAAAAGGGTGTACACCCCTATTCCAGGATGATTTTTGAAAATTTATATATAGTGGCTGTCACAATGTAAAGTATAATGTCATCCAATCAGAAAAATACCGAAAGTGTAATTGTAGAATTTCACAAGATTTTTCTTACAAAGTTATACAACTTACAATTTAGCAGTCATCACTGAAAAAAAAATAGTTTAGTATTAAAAATTTGCCCTTTTTTTATATTTCTGAAATATCTTTGTATTTGCGTAATCAACACTAAAAGAAACTTTTTAGTATCATCCAAGTTAAATTTTGTCAATTTAAATAAGAATAAACGTAATATTTAAAAAAACCCTAAATTAAGATCTACACACAGTATTAAATTACCCATCTAGAATTGCTAAACATTAAAATTTATCACTCTAAATTTTTGAGAAAAAATCCATAAAAGTTATCAAAAGTTAACCAAGTTATCCCCCAATCTAATGAGCGAAGGCTTTATTTCCCAGATTTTATGAAAGAAGTATTATGCTGTCAAATTACATTCCATCATAATTGTTTTAAAAATAAAAACGTTAATAAAATGAAAATAAAGCTTCTAACTTAACCTTTTGCTTACGGCTGGTACAACATGTGGACCACATGTGATGGTACAATATGGAACACCGTAAGCAAAGAGTTAAAGTCGAAGTTGGAGAGAGAAATATGTTCCTAAATTTTATAAAAGACCAAATCATTTTTGATAAAATGGTACATACTTTTATCACATTTAATCGGTTCAGTGCTGTATGGCTCATAACCAGGTCGCGAGCATGAGAATTGTACTTCTGCTCCTTGCTCGTAACTCGAAGCTATTTGAAGTCCATCAGGAGGGTGTCCAGGATCCTCACATACAGGACCTGAAAGTATTCAACCACTTATGTTGATATCCGTATTGATTTAAAACATTTGCGTTATAAGAACAACATTTTGTTTAAGGTCAATGAAACCAGCTTTTACTTACCTTCACATCTTAAATCTCCGAAATCCCAAATACCATCTTCTTGACAGCGGATGACGTTGTCATTCATTGCTGTTTTACCTGCTAAAGTGAACGTCTCTTCGCAGCCAAAGAAGAAACTTGCTTTGTAACGGGTGTCTGCGTAGAAACCATATGATGAACCAGGAGTTTCAGCTGGTTTACCGCAATCGATTCCTAAAATATTGTTTAAAAAAAATTAAAGCCATTGAGAAGAAATTGCGATGCCATTTTTAAATACTTTATGAACCCTTTTCGATTCATTCGAATTTTCGATTCGAAATAAATTTAAAATTTTTAACTGAAAATTGAAATAAAATATTTAAATACAATATTTATAGGCAATATTTTAACTAAAGATATTACCACATTGTGGAAAAGTTTTGAGTGCCACAGAAAAATTTAGATTCTGCAGAGAAGAGACCTTACAAGCATAACGGTCCTTCTTAATAATAAATACACCTGATGGGCTTTTTAATTAAAGGAAAATATAATGAAAATTAAGAATATATAGAAATATTTGATATGCAATTCCAATAACAATAATAATAAAACTGTCGAGTTTATGTATTTTAGACGCATTTCAACCAAAAAAAAAAAAAAAAGAAAGAAAAAATATGGCTAAAATGTTCACAAAAATTTATTCTCCTACACATGTTTTACGATTAAGAGCCCAGTGATTATGGTAAAATAAAGATAATATGTCGTGACAACAAGAATAGTGTTTAAAAAACAACATTTTAGATCACCATATCAGACAAAAATTAAGCAACGATCAAAGAAGTTCCAAGCATAGACGCGAGGCATATGACGCCCTCAAGAATTTATACCATTAACAATGCTATATAATTCCTTGAATCATAACAAAATCATAAAACACAATTATGATATTTTTGCGTCTTTCTCAATAATTCCGTTTTAAATTTTGATACGATGGTTGAAAAGAAAAGAGTATTTTGTGAACGATAAATAAATTATATTTATTGTTTATCAAAGTGAATATTGAATGAATTGAGTCTGTTTCGCACATCTGTTCTGCTTCTATAAAATTCATTGCCTTAAACCTACACATGCGTTTGTGACAATGCAGTTGCTTTGTAACTTCCACTATTTGGTGGTCAATTTCAGCAACATGTTATAACATTTCTCAAAATGTTTATAACACTTTACATTTCGATCACTTATCATTTTTCGGTCAGCGCCTTCATTTTCGATCTGAATTTTGAAGTTCGCCGGTACTATAACCTTACTGTAATCAAAAGGTGCAAGTCATACACACAAGTACTGCACTGAAAGTCAGTCGAAAAATATTTCTTAAAGAGTGCTCTCGCACAATGGATTAGACGTAAATCAATAATCCCTGTCTATACAACTTACTAGGGCGTGTCCAAAAATGACCCACCTTCATTTATATTTTGACTGAGAACTTATTTTTTGACTGAAATGTAAGGTTAGCTCCATCTACCCCTGGCGTTCGACTGTTGAGATCATCTTTTTCATGTGGACTGGAATCAAAATTATGTGATGTGTTTGTGCTCGTGTAAAAGATCCATTTGCTTTATTTTTTGACCGACTCTCGTAGGTGGTATAGATAGTGATGATTTATTTACATCTAGTCCATTGTATGAGCACACTCTTTAAAAAATATTTTTCTATTAATTTCTAGTTCAGTACTTTTGTGCATGATTTGCACCTTTTGATTATTGTGAAGGTTATAATTTTCTTTACCTCCATTTAAAGTATTTTTCATGATTCATATAGTATTAATTAACAATATTGCTAATGTATTTCAGTTAACTTACTTGGGCAAGATGGTCTTGCTCCAGCGAGCCAATGGCTTACCATTCCTTCATGAGGATCAAATACGCACTGTCTGAAGCCAGCTGTAGCAGTTGAGCGCAAAGGCATACCAACTTCATGGCAAGACACTGTTACATTTTCAAAGAATGGAATGTATTTCCCTTCCACTTCCGACTCAAAAAGAAGACCTTGAGAAGGATCGTCGGGTAATCTATCGCAATGTGCATCTGAAAAGAATAAATAATTAAGAACATAATTATTACCACAGAATGTTTTTTAGGATAAAACTTGCCTTTAACTTTCAATTAATAATCAAAGTTTTCTTAAAGAATGAAAAACTGGCTTCTTTTATGATTAGAACAATTTGATAATTTTAAAAGAACGATTTAGGATTGAATCGCGACCATATACATTAATGTTAAAAGCAATAGCTAAGCCTAATCGCAACCATAGACATCAATGCTAAAAGTAATAGCTAGGCCTAAACTTGGGGTATAAAAGCGAGTTCAACGGGCTTCATTGCGGCTGCTGTACCCAATCAGCAATTTATTAGTCTCTATACAGATCTGTGCGATTAATAGAAACTAGAGAGTGAAAAGGGAAAATACCCATTTTTTATTCTGATTATGTGAAAGATGAGTAATCTTGGACGATGTTTAAGTCTTGCGATAACATTTGAACTATCATAAACATGCAGGGTTTGGTTGTTCACTAAATTAATGAATATTATTGCAGGGTTAAAACATTTAAACTCTTGGTAAAGCGTTTTCTTTGAAACTGCACTCAAATAATTCGTGTAATAAAAAATACTCACATTCACAAGTTGGCACACTTCCATTCCAAGCCCCATTGCTCATACAAAGAATGATTGGATTGCCATTCATCACAAAGGCAAAATCACAGAGAAAATTGACAACATCACCATAATGAAACATCTTTTTCGTGTTCAGTAGAGCACCGTTTTCAGGAGCTGTCAGTTTTTGACACATCTTTGCTGTGAAGAAAAAAACAGAAAAGCTTTTAACGATACTAAACATTCTACAATTAAAAAGCTGGAAATTAAAAATAAATGGCAAAGAAGATAACGATGCAAAAGTAACTTACGCACGCAAGTCTTGTTAATACGATACACATCATCATCTTTTAATCCCGTTTCGCTCTCAGGAATTGTAAAACCTGATGTTCCATTTTCAGCGTAAAGATCGAATCCTACATTGCACAGACAATTGAAACTACCCGGACTGTTAATACATCTTTGGTCACATCCACCATTCTTCTCCGTGCATTCATTGATATCTAAAACAGAAACACATTGCGCATTTTAAATATCTCACAAATTTAAATGTAATGAATTTTTTTTATAGTAAAATACATAAAAATTGAAGACAATTAGCGCAAAATTTAAATGACCTCCTTGCTTTTTTCTCCATTTGGAAGGAAGCCCTAATTACATGTTCTAGCAATCACATTCTGGTTAGTAGATAGTTGGCCTTGTTTAATAAATACTTGACGCAGCATGGTATACATATTATGCAAATGTTGCATTGAACTAATTTATGGAACTATCTGAACTACGTTAGACTGAATAAACTTATGTAACTATTTGGTGCTAAATGATTAGGCTATAATGTTGTGCTAGTAATTAACTATGTAATTCTATAACTATAAAGCAGCTATGTTGTACGGAAATCATACACAAATTTAAATTTTTTAGCAAGTAGGAAAAAAATCATATACTATCAGATTGTATTAACAATTGAGATAAAATGAATCCCTATGTTTACAGAAAACGGTTTCCAACCATTCCTGAACTTATTATTAAGTATATTTAAACCAAAAGCCTGATAGATTTCGTCAAAAGGCTGTGCTTAGAACATGGTAAACATTGCCTAAACATTATTTCCATATTTAGCATATTTAATAGGAGTGCTTATTGTAGCATATTGCAGTATGAATTCATTTTGTAAATTTTTATTTGTTTTTCCCCCCGTTAATTTTGTACATTTAGATCTTGCATTAATTGTGGGTTTCTTTTAATCAAAAGAAAAATCTTATGAAAAAGCACAACAATCATAAACACTTAAATAAATATCAAATGTATTTTAAACATATTTAATATTATAAATTACAGTATTAATGCATCGTATGTTTTAATTTGGGAACTTACCAACGCAATCTTGCCTTGAGCAACCCATCAACTCCACTTTCAGGCAAGGTGCAACAACATATTCCATAACAACGATGCGAACATATCTGGCCTCCAGAGGTTGTTGTAAAGAGGTCATAGAAACTCCCGTTCTTCCATCAGGATTAGGTCTAAATTGAATTGGCTGTAAAAAAAAGATACGCAAGACAGAAATGTAAACTACGTCAAATATAAAATAACTGAATAAGAAACAGTCAGAGTTGAAGGAAAAAATCTTCTGTGATAACTAAAAATTATTATCTATTTCTCATATTTTCTTCTCGTAGTTTACTGAAACATTAATACATTTTAATAAAACGATTTATCTCTAATCGAATTCTAAGAAAATAATATCTTCAATTTGAAGGCAGTAGAGATACTGCCTTTTTCATGATTAGAGATATAGATCATGCGTCGTCAAGATGTATCTGTTAAAATAAACATTTAATTGCGATTGCATATAGAATATTGATTACACAGGGTGTCCCAGGATTATCGAAACAAATTTTAAGGGGATGCTTGGGACATCACAATGATTTAGAATTGCAGCCCATGGTCGGAAACGTCAAGGGAAAGTAGTCTAACAGGTACAAGAAACAAAAAAACACAAGACTGAGATCATATGAAATAATTGGTCTAAGTGCTGTGGGTATGTGTTACATGGTGCTGTGGAAGAAGATATGTGAAAATCTCAGAAAAAATATTCTAAGTTTCCACCCTTACCAGCGATGCATGCGTTACACCGTCGGGCTATGGATTTACGGACTCGGTCAAACACACCTGGATTTTATTGGATAATCGCAGCAACACAGACGATTCTTGAAACCAGATTGATTTCGGAATCTCCAGGTGTCGTGAACACAACACTTTTCAGTGCACCCCGAAGGAAAAAATCTATGCTGCTTAAATCAGGAGAGCGTGGTGATCATTAAACTGGCCTCCCACGCCTAGTCCATCTTGTGAACAAGACCACTTAGTTGCAGTAAAAATCTGAATCCTTGTGATATCCCCAACCTCCCTTTAAAGTTTATCCAATAATCCTAGGATACCCTGTATATTTAATTACTTATATATTGAACAGAGTTTCGAATGTTATTGAAAATCTTATTCAAGAATAAAATTAAGGCTTGCGATATAATTGAAATTACTAAATAAAAAATTTCACTTTAAGGCTTAAATTTTATTTTCAGAGAAATATATTCTTACCCTTCCAGCTTGGTCACTGTAAACCTTAAATGCATCCGTTAGATCATCCGTATAGTGTATCCGTAGGCTTATTGGGAAAGCACTAGATCCGTCAGATCGAATAACGGTCTGTATCCTGAATCCACGGATAACAGTTGGAGCACGAAGATCTATCTGGACCCAATTATGGCCTGGTCTTGGTACGTTTCCACACCATCCTATAGGACTGTCCAATCTGACATTCTGTTTCATAATAAACAAGAATTGTTAAATGTTTATTGCAACATATTTTATAAATACCTTTTCTTTTCTAAATAAAATAAATGGCAATTTATAAAAGGGAAAAAAATTAGGATTTAATTCATTTTCAGATCAAAACTTTTCACAAATGTAATGCAAAATTTTTTAGTATTTATTTTAAAAGTTATTAAAAATTAGTAGGAAAATAATGAAAATTCATGGGAACTCATTGATTTCAATTTTTTTCATTTTTATATTTCCTTTGAAAATAAAAATAATTTTTAAAGCTTTATTTTATGAATCATTAATGTGGATACATTAATGATTCATAAAAAATTAAAGTACGAAAGTGATTTTTGTACAAATAAAAAATAAGACTAGAAAATGACCATCTGAATTTTAATACACTTGCGATTGAAAATTTGAAATATTAAGCATGTCTACACACAAATGTTTCAAAACTAATGAAAAATAAATAGGCTGGTATGAATAAATGCTTTAATTCTAATGATTATACAGGTTGTAGTGCTTTTGTTCAAAATGTTGTTATTTTCTTTATTGCACTTCTGGTATTATGATTTAACATAAAAATTATATGTTTGAAAAATTAGAATTCAGTCATTTTTTAGTATTAGCGATTATCGTCGATATCGGAATTTTACATAAATCATACATTTTTGCCATATCCAGCTTCTACTCCTGAAACTTTAATGCTAGTGTCCGGAATAATGCCAGAACTCAGTCCTAAATCCCCAACTGGCTTGCAATCTGAAAAAGGATAAATAAAATTATTATTCATTAGCTTTTTATTTCGTAATAATTCAAAATTTAATAACGCCAGTGAAATAATACATACCAAAATTAGGCTCGAAACCTTCCTTGCATTTGCAAAAAAATCCACCGGCAGTGTTCGTGCAGACAGTAGATGCAGCATCACAAGTTGATGCTGAACATTCATTCATGTCTAAAAATAGAATTTGAGAAAAGAAAAAAAAGAGTAAATTCGAAGTTCATAAAATAAAATCTGCAGTATCCTACAGATATAATGATAACAGTTTATATTACCGTTGCATACAGGAACGTTCGTGAAATTTTGATCTGGACCACATGTTATTACAGGACTACCCTCAAGTCTGTAACCTCTATGACATTGTATTTTAGCCACATCTCCGAAGAAAAAGTTCCTTTGGGGTTCAACCACAAAACCATTCTCTATTTCAGGAAGAATTGGGCACTGGGCTCCTATTTAAATAGTTTTTTTTTAATAAATGAAATTGAAATATCTGCATTAGTTTTAAACACTGTATGCATGAAAAGTGCTTAAATATTATTTAGTTTAACATTAAAAGCTATTACCATTTGACAAAACAAATTGATTATTAAGCGTACAGTACGCAAAAAATAAATAGACCACCATAAATAACTTTTGATCTAATGATAGGATCCTTAAGTTCTAGGACTCGATCTTAATGGTTCGACAGGGTGACCTCTAACACGTTTATTCGTGCAGACGATATTTTAAGTCACGATATCAGGCACAAAAACGTACTTTCTATGAATAAACATACCTTTTTTCCGATGGGACTTATTTTCCAGATTGTGGTTACCCCCCATATTTTGGGGTCAGAAACCCAAAACCGTTGAAAAAAGGTATGTTTATTCAGAGAAAGTCGATTTTTGAGACTGATTTCGTAACTTAAAATATCGTCTGCACTTATTATTAAATAAGCATATCAGAGGTCACCCCCTCGAACCATTAAAATTGAGTCCTGGAACTGGAAGATCTGATCATTAATGACTCGTTTATTTTTTTGAGCACTGTGCATTATAACTTTAGTGATAAAGTTTATGTGATAGTTGTATGATAAAAAGATAAGTGAACTCATTTTGGAGTTTAGAATTATCTTTGGAACCCTTCAACCGTTGCGATTTTGAGCAAAATGTATGGAATTTTCACTGCTGTGTTCTACTTTCTAATGAAATAACAAGAGCAGAAACTAAATTGTTTATAGGAAAGATGTTAGTTTATAGTTTGAAAGAAATCATAGCCAATGCTTAGAGGATTAGGGGATAAATGGTTTCAAGAACAGGTAAGGTATCTAAGTATTTGAATTTTGGCTCAATTTTTCACCCTCCACTGTGCTACTAAAGAAAGTATGTCTTAAAGTTAAATTTTTCAAGTTAGCCCAAATAAAAGCTCAAACTAATCGTCACCGATTGTCTTCGAATTTAGACTGTATCTTTAAAATTACATTCTTTACTGAAATATGGAAGATTAATTTATTTTACTGTCTGTTTTTTTTCGTTACATAATAGATTTTCGGTCAATTTAGGTTTAAGGAATCCTGAATTTTATTAAAATAATGATAATCATACAAAAATGGGTTTATAAAAAAAACTCCTACGTAATTCTTTAACTGTTACATAATCGACAAAATCGAGATCGTCGAAGAGTAATCGATCGTCGACCGAGAATCGACATACATAATCGAGTCGAGAAGAAAATAGTGTGTCATCTTCAGATGTTTCTGATACCGTCATACAACCTTCAAAAATAAAGACTGCATTGGAAAAAAAAGCTGTCATAACTATACTTATTTGTTTTGAATCACTTTGGAAATTAAGTTTTTACAGTTCACTGGTTAGATAATAAAATACTTTTTTGGATTTATTCCATTGTCTTACTGAAGAAAATCTCCAAAATATGGTTTATTTCCGGCATTAGAGTGGTTTAACCTCTAGAAGCATTCCCGCAATCACCTATTGTGGGCCAAGGATTTCACAGGAAGTTAAGAATTCAGAATTTCGTGACCAACGGCAATGTGGTTAGCAATGCGCACAAGCCACCTTTATTTCCATGACAAATTGGTACCCATCGATCTGAAGATGGGTGTTCATCAAGCCGCCACTGAAGATCAAATCCCAGTCTTTCAGACTGGCAGCTAAGTGCCTGTATTCACAGAGTCCTTACCTAAATGTCCTTTTATCTTCCAAATTTTATTAGGAATCTAATAACACTATATATGTACCTTCCAATCAAAATTCTGTTACATTGCGCGCATGCGCTATTTTTTTTCGGATCATCATTGAGCATTCTAGAAAAGAGACATTGAGAATTCTGTCGCCAACAGTCTATTACTGTACTTCTTGTGTGGCGTTAACAAACAAGTCAGTCAAAATGCATTAAAATAAAAAAAATTTTAATTTAATATTATTGGAAAATAGTTTAACAGAGTTAAAATAATAAAGCTAGGACGGTGTTTTAAATTATCTTCCAAAAATATTTTTCTACTTACTTTCACACTGAGGTGGAGCACTCGACCAATGACCGTCTGTCATGCATAAAAGGACTGGTGCACCTATTCTGAAATATCCTGGTTCGCATTCGAATCTAACAACAGTTCCATAGCTGCGTCCTCCACCGTTCAATACAACCTGTGTTGCGTGAGGAGTTTCAGACAACAACGGACAAGATGACGCCAAGCACACTGGAAGTTTTTCCCATCGTCCATCTTCTGTGCAGCGTATTGTTTCTGTCGGTAATCCACTTGGGAAGGCAAAACCGGCGTAACACTGATAAGTGGCAACACCTTTGTAAGTCACGTTAGTTGCTTGAACAGCAAATCCACTATCAATTTGAGGAACAGGACCACAGTATCGCTCTAAAAATTCACACAAAAAATCCCTTTATAGCAAATTTATGAAAAAAATACTAAATTAACATCAGATAAAATATTTCTGATCAGAATTGTTCAGAAAATTATTTAGCAAACTTAGCTTGGTTGATCTCAATAAATGTATAAAGAGTTACAGTCTGTTAAAAAAAAACATACTTAAGTTTAGTCTGTACAATATAGTACAATATCTTATCATATCACCTGGTAATTATTAAGTGAAGTTGTTGAATATGGAAAGAAACATATTTAAAATAAAGTTATCGAACATGAGAGAAGAAGTTAGCAATAAAATAATGTTTTCATAAAATGTTGTAACATACCTTGACATTTCGGAATATGTGATACACTCCATTGGCCACTTTGAAGACACTCAATTTCAATTTCTGAAACTCCTGAGCTGAATTCTTGACCCATAGGACAAGAATATTTTACTTTAGCTCCAAAAGTTCTCTCACGACTTGAAGCTATAGCTCCTTTACCAACATTTATCGGTGGACAATCTAAATTCACAAAAATAATTGTTATATTAATTAAACGTGAAAATATTTCATAAAGAAAGTGACTGACTTGTTAAATTTGGTAAGATAGAGAACACAAAAGTAATTTTTTTAGCACATTAGTGAAATAATTATTATTGAAAATAATTATTATAAAGTGATTAAAAAAGTTCGTGTCGAAACTCAATCGCATCTCAAAAATAAGAATCGTTATGTGTCTTGAGAGATTGGAGAAGAATGAGACCAAAAAAGAATGAGAATGAGATATATTTTGAGCAATTAACTTAGCTTAATACTTAGCCTTATATCCTATCACTTAACTTAAATACTTGGTTAACTCACTTAACCAAGGAAAATGTTCGTATTCAGTCAGTTGAAAAGTATCTAATTCCCCAACTCGACACAGTAAAAATTTAGAATGACATAATAAATTTAAAACTGCAAATCCCCCGAATTCACCCGATTGTAACTTCATATATTTACACGTTCTGTTCTGAAGAAATTAATTTCAAGGATATAAAACTAGTTAAAAGAAATCAAAACTATTTTAATAGCTTTCTTTGAAGAAAAACTATGCAGTTTTGTTAAAAGTAAATAAAAAAAACGTGAAAACATTGAAAGACTTACTAGAAATGGTAGAAAGTACATAATTTAGGAAATTTTTTATTTATTTTTTATTAAAATGCATTTTATTTAGTTTAGTTTTAAAAAAAGGCACGTCATTTTGCAATCGAGTGGGAATTTAAGGATTCTTTGAACATAAATGATGGATTAATTGAAGGGTTTTAACCAGAAAAATTAGTTTAGTTTCAATAAGTTAGAGCCATACATTGTAAACATAATATAAAAGACAATATCAAATTACAATTTGTTAAACTTATGGAATATTTTACGAACCAGCACTAAAACTTGCTTTCCAACCACGAGCTGTGTTGACAGGGTTACTCGAGAATACTACCAACAAATTTCCACTGCTAGATGTCATGGTAATGGAAGGTTTTGACAAGCCGCTAAACCCATTTCCAGAATGAAGACGGATGCCATTGTCTGCCGATACTCCATCATAAACCTACCATAACAAGAATAACATTTTGAATTATAAATGAATAGCTAATTTATTCAATTTAGTTCTGTAAAAAGTTTTGGTGTACATTTGTCACCATTTTTGGTGTTGATATTTAAACATACATGCAATGGGTTTTTATACAGGAGATGTTTTATATGCTTCCTTTTCGTATTTACTTTTAACGTATTGCATTACAATGTTAACCAACTGATACACGAACGTAAACAAGTGCAAACCGGTTTCAGCAGCGTAAAAACAATAAAGCTGAGTAGTATCACCTGATAATTAAGATTTTACATAAAATCTCATAGTGCGTCCAATAATTTTGTCAGTCCTGCAAATACATTTTTTAATACAAAACTGTAGTTATTGCTCAAATAATTACATAAAATTGACAAGATAACAAACGTTAGAAAGAATATATTCCTAAAAATGCATCTTTTTTTTAAGAAATTGTTTTGAAAATGAAGTCGAAAATTGATTCTAGTGATCATGAAAATATGTGTTATCAGTAAGTAAATAAACAAAAATTGAATGAATAAATACATAAAACTATAGCAGTGAAAAAGTTTTAAAAAAAATGTAACTATACTCACTGTAAAACAATTAAAGTTTGCCTCAATAGCAAAAATAGAGGCAACTGTACTCCAAAATGGTTTACAGTGTACAGAAATTTAGAATAATAATAGACTCAACAAACAATACCTCTGTTAATTCGAACATTTTTCTGACTTTAAAATGTTGATATTTGGAAATAAAGATGACAATTAATATTATTTTAATTAGTTAAAACATTAATTCATGGTAAGAAATAAATTATTTGCCATTAAAATTTAATTACCATCTTAATGAAGACTTGTGCATGTTGTGTAAGTCACCGAGAGTTATTCAAGAGTCTATGAGTTATTCAGCTTTCAGACTTATTTAACATAGTATTGACATATAAATATGTGGTTGATAAACTGCCTATTATGTTTGGTAATAAACCTATCACTTTTTGTCTACAAGAACTATATTATAAAAAAAAGTAATTAATGAAAAAGAATGCTTACCTGCACAAAATCATCTGCAGCAACTTGGAATTCATCAAACTTTAGAGACACGGGTCCACCACCAAGTAAACTTATTCTGTATGAACACACTTGATTGGAAGGATAGTTAGAGATACCGTATGCAGGTGATGACAAATTACCAGCTAAAGCGACCTCCTCGATTTCACAGCCTGTGAAAGTTCATTTAATTTTAAATATTGTACAAATATTTTCAACTCAGGCATAAATATTTGCAAAGTGGAACTTAATCGTCTTACCAGCTCTGAATCTGATTGCAAAGCCCCGTCGACTATCACCAAAACTTGAATGGAAATAGATATACACCCTGTTTGATGTGGATAAGATGAACTTTGGATTGTTTTCAATTTCACCAGTCAGTTTAGCAAGTAAAGGATCAGATGGACTAGATCCATCTCGTATGTGAATAAAATCTTTCTCGGGCTCCAAATCAATATCAATTATCTGAAAGGCACAATGCATATGACAATATCAATATGTATATTAATGACTTTATAATATTAAAAAAACTTCTGCTGTTTTAAAAAGTTGTGAATGTAGGAAAAAATTGACGTGTTTCGAGAGCTAGACGTAGACGCTCATTCTCAAGACTAGTCAGACTTGAATGAAAAGGTGAGTTTTGAGAATGGATCGAACATGTTGTTGTTGTTGAATATTGTTTCTGAGCACTCGAAACATGTTTTTGAAACTTTATATAATTTTTGAAGTAAATGAACTTTTTATGTTATCAATCATATATTTTCGTTTTAGTTCATTGGGATTATTTAGGCGTCTCCTGGAGGCAGCAGTTGATTGAATAGGAGATTTTCGATGTTCTCAGACTATGGGGTCTTTTGGATCTGGTGTAGGATCTCCTATAGTTTGACTACTGTAAGAACTCTCCAGCTACAAAGTATGAGGCCGTCTGTTGCTATGGAAACAAGAATGGCACATTTCAGGGAGAGTAGCTTCTCTGCACTCTAGGGCTAACACAATAGAGCGAAGAAAAAGATTACCCTTCTCTCGCCGACCCGAGAGAAAAACCTGTCCCAAGCACTGACCTCACACCTCTACTTGAAGTAGTTATATGTCGTTACCATAGTCACCGCCACGGGTCCAGACGAATGGCTAGGGAAGTTCTTACTTTAGACAAACTATACAATAAGGGGATGAGTAACAACAACATCAACAACAGTTTAATGGGATAATTCATCACTTGGTTACTAAATAGAATATGATTAATTAATCAATGCATTGTTTGCATTCATGAAATAAAAATTACCTCAAGAGTAAGTATTTTTCCTGGTGGAGCTGTTAAGACGTAAAGGCACTCAAGACCCCCAGGATAGGGTTGAGGGTAAGTTGCAGAAGTCAGAACTTGAGCAGAGGGTTGTGCAAACAATTCGCCTCCACATCTGACAGGCTCTGTAAAAAATATGCATAAAAAATTATTTAATTTAAATTAAAAGATTTAAAAAAAAACAAATTTCATAATTTTTATGAATCACAAAATAGATCTTGGATGGAAAAATTGTTAAGATAGTATCTGTTTCATTTTAAACAGAACTATAGCATCTAAGATATCTATAATTAGGAACTATAGTTATCGATATAGTATAATATATCGATAACTAGGTAATAACTAGATCAATATAGTATACTATATCGATTTTCATCTCTTTTATTATCGATTTTTATCTCCTTTTATTAAAAGATTTTAAGACTGTTTTTCGAAGGCTCGATCGTCAGATGAAATGATGCTTTTTTTTCAAATAATATGCTACTCATATAACTGGTATGAGTTTGCAACAGTCATGACTGTTTGGTCAAGTTTAGTCTATCTAAAATCAACGCTGTCTATGCTTATATTGAAAATATTGCAAAACGTCAATATGGAGAAAAGCCACAGTTTTGTAAAATGAAAAGCATTTGTGGTCTAATTTTTTAATATTTAAATACTTACTCAATTACTGCATTACCTGGGCTCATACAAATTTACAAAAAATGAGAAAATGCAGTGATTTTGAAAATTTCCATCTAGGTGGAAAAATGTCGACAAATTGACTATTTTTTTAAAAAAAATTATTAACTTTTAAGATATTTAAGTTATTAGTCTGTTCTGAAGTCCAGATATTTCTTCACATCAAGGCTATACATATGTATAGTTGAAAATCATCACATTGCTTCAAGTGTAAGGCACTTAAACTATGATGTTTTCATTTTCCTTGGAGAAGCAGTGTTTAACGTAATTAAAAATATAGAACAGTAATTTAATGTCGCTAAAAAGTTACAACTCATTTTGCACAACGAATTTAATAAAAACCATGCCATATTCAAGTAACACAAACTGCGAAAATCGTAGATTAAGCAGAATAAAATATTTACAGAATATCTCCCGTTATAGATGAACAAAACCATAAATTTTAAAAAGACGTTATAAATCATCTCCTTTTACCTGTTTTCCAACTTGCTCTAAATCCTTTCTTTTCCACGGAGGCATCAGTTCGAAATTTAATTATCATGAGATTCGAAGCAGTTGTGTAAGCCATTGATGACAGGTCTTGATTACCTGACAAGGTGACCAGAGATACACTCTTCTCTTCTGTTCGACCGCCGACTTGAATTTGAACTGTGTCAAAACTTGATTCAGTATCAAAATCAGAAAACTATTAGAAAAATAAACCTCATATAAATAACTTTACATGTATAAGTTGCACACTAATGTAAAATATGAAAGAACGATTGAACAAGCGTTAAAAAATATACTTACGCCACATTCTATAGTTGAAAGCATGAAATATTTAAGACTTTCTTTCAATAAAAGTTTTCAAAAACGAACACGTATATAAAACTGTTAATTTACCTGTAAAACGATGCCAGTTCCAATCGGACCTTCCAGAGTCCATTTACAATTTGAATTAGCAAAGTATCTGTTTGGATAGTTAGGCGACTGAATAGCATCTCCAGAGCTTTGTAAATGAAAATGGCAAGATGCTGAAATAGAAAATGGGAAATGAAATTCCATAAAAATTGCTTCAACAACAAAATTATGGAGAAAAAAAATTTACTTCTGTACTTTATGTAAAGTGCGCAATAAATAAATAAAATACCCTTCTAACTTTTGGTATAATTACCGGATTTTCAAGTACTAAGGCTCATTTCGGTGACCTCATTTTAAATATAGGACTTTAAATATGCTAATGTTAATCGAATTTTAAATATACGACTTTTTAAAATTTGATTTTTCGGGAAATATACGACCGATTCCGTTCATTTTTTAAAATTTAGATTTGCTATTTAAAAATACGTTCTTTGAAATTATGTTTAAAGAAATTAATATCTTGCACGGCAAAAGTTATTCGGTCATTATTAAATAAAATAATAAATATTTTCTAAAAATTAAATTCCGTGGAATTATCTTTAGATAAAAGAATTTTATTATTGTGTGCAAAAATTTTTCAATTCGCTTTGTCGATGCGTGGCGAAATGCGTAAAAAAATAAAATTAATATTAAGGAGTCCAAACTTTTGTGAACTCTCCTGACTAAACTATTAAGAACATATTTCTTCGATTGTGGCTGCACCCTATATTTTGATTGTTATGAATAATAAATGGTTGAAAAAAATAGTGTTTATTCAGAGAAAGTACATTTTTGTGTCTGATATTGTAGCTTAAAATATCATCTGCTCTAACTAGTTAACATATTTGAGGTTGTCTCCTGGAACCTTTAAGATTGACTCCTAGTCCATGTTAATTCGATCATGAGATCATAAGTTATCCTGGGTGTTTCGTTTATATTTTTGAGCACTGTATCTAGGTCATCCGTTACGTACCTAACAGATTGAAAAGAATAAAGCGAAAACATTAAGTTTCCTATAGATATTTAGGTTTAGCTCAATGAAAATGAAAAGTTTCTTAAAGTCGACATTCTATGTTTATTTATAACCAATTATATAAACCCGTCTAGCTTTTAAGTTGCTTAGTATATTTTAAACTAAGCATTTATATTATTATAAAAATATTTTAAAAATTATGCGACAAAAATGGGTTTTTTTTTTATTACACTGATAGGTTGCGGATGACCTAAAAAACAGCTAAAACAGAGAAAAAAATTAATTTTCTTTAAACAAAACACAATTTTCCTTTTTCTCATTGTTTTAATTACAATTTATCAAATATTGCGATGAGATTATAACGAAGGTACCCAGGATGATGAAGGATTAGTTGCAAAAAGGATTCTTAGAATTTAAAAAGCAGATGAAGTTACGTAGGGAAAAAACAAACATAGTAGCAGAAACTCTCTAGCACGGCAGCGAGCTCTGCAGATTATAACAGAATCTGGAACTTATTTTTCATCCAATTTTTCTTCTTCTTTTTAAAAGGAAAACAAACAAATGACTACTGCCACCCATTTTTGAAATGTTTCTAATTGAAAGAAAGCCGCAAAGAACAAAAAGTTAAGAGTTTTTTTTTTACTACTTGATTATGGGCTTAACCGTTTAGTATTTATTCAATTTCTTTAAAGTATAATTAAATAAAATTCAACTTAAATTTAAGCAGTATAAAGTTCTTATGTACAATTTTTAAGGTCATTACATTCACAAATTTTATTGGATGGGATTAGATAAGTTATGTGGTTTTCTGCATCCTTCTACGATTTGTAGGGCCTTGCCTATTACAGTCTTACAATAACATGATATATCCTTACCTGGGCAATCTGTTTCATCTGACTGGTCGCCACAATCATCTTCTCCATCACATAAAAACTTTTTACTAATGCAGTGGCCATTGTTGCAATGAAATGAATCTGTAAACGAATACAAATTGATTGAAAAACTCTTATTCATACAAATCATCAAAATGATAGCCTATAACTTCGATTTAGAACGAAATGGGTTTCATACCTCTATGACAAGCTTTTAAATGGCAAATGAATGGTAAAAGTGTTTCACAAGGAGCCAGCTCCCAAACTTGCGATTCACCCTTAATTTTGGCACGGACGCATTCACCTTTTTGAGGTTGAGGTTGATCATGGTCCCAGAAACCAGTATATTTAGAAATAAAAGTACCACTAGATGATTCAAGCGTATTTGTAGATAAGCCATCAACGGACGTTAGACCTATAGAAAAGTTATGAATAAACTTTACAGAAAATCTTCATTGAACTATTTAATTTACTTAATTCAAAAATATTACTTGATATTTGATGTCTCAAAAATTACCAACAAACCAAAAAAAAAAGAATTTAAAAAAAAATACTAATAATGTGTTAGAAGTGTTAGGCTCTCTGTGTTTTGCTTAGGAGTTTCAACATTTTCACTAAGTTTCAAAATTAGTTTCTAAGTTTCTCAACAGATGACGCTGCTGATTAGAAAACATTTTTTTCAGAGAATTGTCTGTTAATTTTGTCCTCTAACTAAGCCACATTGTTGCTGTGAATGGCGATTTTTATTTTTAAAAAACGATTGTTTTATACCCTTCTTAACAGCGTCATTTGTTGACGAATTTTATAAATACTTCAAACTTAGTTAGAATAAATTACTTAAATTCCTTAAGCAGATCACAGCATAACAAACAAACTTTGGTCATTTTTGGGACATCTGGTACTAGTCAACATTGTTAATTTGTAAAATATTAATGCATACCTATCCAGTAAGATACTTCTCCAGTATCTCTTAAGCTCTTTATAGCAACTCTACTAGTAAAATTATTTTGACTATAATCTCCTATTAGAACAAGATCTCCACCGTACCTAAAAACATATTGAAATATTAAACAGATCACAATTGCAAGAACATATAGTTGCTATTACATACCCTAAAATTGAAAATAAATTATCAATTCTGGTAGCATTTTTTATCCGTTTGTTGGTTTCATACTACAAGAATCGTGGCAGTTTTTTTTTTCAATTTTCGCGACTTATCAAATTTGTTGTAAATTTTTTCATGCGTTATAAACATGCGTGTTTAATTTGCTTTAAATTTTTTTAGTCGTTACATACTTCAAACCAAAACGTTACAAATTTTTTAAACTGTTTTAGTATTATTATTATATACTAGCCACTAGCTGGCGAAAAGGCGACCAGCTGGTACGCCTTTTCGTGATTTAAAAACCTCTACTGTCTAAAATGAAGACAATTTGTAAGTATATAGCCTTGATCTCAACAGGGCAATATGAGTCACTTAAGCAAAAGTAACTCATATTGCTCAAGTCAGAGTGGGAAACGAGTTGACGAGTATTTGCGGCTATCTTCAATGTGCTTTTCAAATGCAAAATAACTAAAATTCTCCGTTAAATTATGCATGCATTATTTTAGTTATGCATTAAGGAGATTTATATTTCATTTTTTTAATATCTGTAAACTAAATTAAATATTTTTATAATGTATAATTTCTATCCTCTCTTACTCTGTTAAGCCTAATTCGAATTCACCTTAATATTCTGTTTGCTACGCGTTTGTTTTATTTACTAACTCATTTCGTATTTTATACTGTCCGATAAAAATAACTTAACTGATTCTTATGTGTATCATATCTTACAGTAATTCTAAATTTCAGTGTTATAAAATAACAAACATGGTGGTGACTACTTTATACCTAGTACTGTAAAAAACATTCTAAGTGTTCCACAGCACCAGGAATTATCCTTGGGTTTTGATGTAGTACAAAATATCTTTGGTGTAAAGTAGCTGTCACTATATTTGTTGCTCAGATGCATAAGAATATTCTACAGATAGTGCTACAGATAGTAATAGAGCATGCACCATACAGGTGGTACATATCCCACATTAAAGTTATTTTTCGAAGTCTGCCGATACGTGAAATAACACTTTTTAGTGAATAATATGCTAATTTTCTGCAGGTTGGAAGTTTGCGCAACAGCAATTCATGACCGTTAGAGATTTTCCTATCTTCTGCCTTCGCTCTCAATGCTAATTACGAAAAATGGCGCTAAACGTCAATATGAAGAAAAGCTACAGTTTTTTGAAAATAAAAGGAGTTCGTAATCTTAATTTTTATAATTGATAAGTTGCACTAACGTTACATTGTCTGGAACCTGAAATTGAAATGAAATAGAAAATAATAAATAATTAAAAACTACTCACCTCCCACATATTTCTGCAGCCTTCTTCCAAGAATGCCTAATATTAAATAACCTATAGCAGTGAATATCATCTTGTGTCCACCCTAAGTAGGAAAAACAGAAATATGAGATTCTTTAAAGTCACACTATCTTTACAAGTATTTATAAATTCTAATAACCATTTATATTTCGATTTAAACGAAAGGCAAGAAAAACAACGGGCACGTAAATAAATTGGGAAATAAAGTAGTGTTTTTTTATGTTTATGTAGCTTGAAGTTATAGCACCATGTAAATAGTTTGAAAAAATTTGCAACCGAAGAAATAATAATTGAGATTCTAGAATAAAATTGTAGCTTATAAACTGTTCTTTATTTTAGCATTTTTAATTCTTAACAAAATAAAGCTGTTAAAACATTTAGCTGTTAAAACAAATTTGTGCAAGGAATATTTTTGCTTCGCATTTAAATTTCAGTATAAATAAGTATAGTTTTTTTTCGTATATTTTATTAAATCAATTAGTTTACAGAAAATAAATTAAAAATGCATAGTATTATCTAAAAAAGAATGCATATTATTAAAGTTTGCGGCAACGCGACTGATGTGATTGCAAAATACTAAAAGTACACAAAGCGTTTTCAACAATTGTGGAAATTTTTTCGTTTTTAGTTCAAGTGCAAGCAAACATTTAGTGTTGCTCAATCATGAGTATCATACTATGCCTAGATAATTAATACATTTCTATTTCAAGTTGTGAATGCATTTTTATTTCGAGTTGTGAATGCATTTTTTATGATTAAATTACCTAGCTATAGATTTGAAGTTCTATCTGTAAGTTATTCTACAACTATCAATTTACAGATCATACATAGCAGTGGGTATTAAAACTAGACATAATTCTTAAAACACGACAAAATATCTATTTAATAATTTATTCTTTAAAGAAGTTGTTTTATAGTTATCTAGTTATAGTACAATAACCATGATATGCAATGAATGTTATCTATTTTTCTTTTGGTGATGGAATTAAATTAGAAACAATGTAATGGTAAATGAATCACTTAATTTATGCTAGTTTGCCTATGAATTATTAACGTATCAACTAATAGCGATAAATGATTTAATATAATATCTAACATAAATATCTAATGCAGATTTCATGTAAATATCTAATGCAAATCAAGATTGTTATTGGAGCATGTTAAGAAAATCAGAAGCCTAAAAATGTACTTCCGTATAGTGCAGAAAAAAGAAATAAGAGATATTTTCAAGTCCAAATATTTATATATTATTACCTATTGATAAAAATTAATCATTTTAAATACAACATCGTGATTAGGGACTGATGCATTAAATATCTTTCTTATAAATGGTATTTTGATTCAAAATCATCGCTGAATCGATTAGAATATTTTCCTGGACAACAATGGGTACATGGAGAAAAAAAAATTCTGGCAAAATTATCGTAAAGCATGGTAGTGACATGTCTGGTAAATATAAACATAATTCTGATAATAAAAACAAAAATATATAATATTTAAACCATTCATATGGCATTCCGTTCCTATAGCAACGATTTACAAAAAATTCTGGTTTTCAAAATTATAGTTCTGATTACCAAGCATTAAGAAAAATTAAAAGTAAATTAAACCAAATAAATGGCGTTTACACCATGATCTAAGGTATCATGACAAAAGTACCAAATTTTACCACATTTACTAAATTTCATTATGGATCATAAAACCATATTTTATTGTTTATTTTACCAAAATCTTCTCCAAAGCGCTTCGGTGAAAATTGCCGAGCTTTTTGGTGTTCCCATAGAGATAGAAACACATTAAATGTTACCATATTCTGGTAGTTTTGACCATTCTTTTTATTTTCGCCGTAGATTTGAAGGAGTACTAGGTGATTTTTCAAACGCGGCTAATATTTCAATATAATGAAACCAGCAAATAATATTTCTAGAAAATAATGTTTTACATTTTAACTGTTCGAGCAATAAAATTAAAATTCAGGAATTGATACTTAAAAGAAAAAAAATACAACCGACAAAGAATAGACGTCTCGAGTTTCAAAAGACTATCCAATTTATCAAAGTTTGATTGTCTTAAATCACGGGGATAATCTTCACCTACGACACATTTAAAGTAGATATCCTGCACCAAGATTGCACCTTGGATTAATGACAATACTTTGATACTAACATAAATTTTCGTTCTACATTTTTATAAGTAGTGACCCTGATAACCTATCAGAAACACAATAAAATGGATCCCCTTTGCTTAATATGTCACGTTTCTGTAGGATCATGTGTTATTTTACGATATTTAGTTTAGTAGCGACAAGAACAATTTCTGGCAAAGGTTTAACACTGAACAATAGGAGAGACGCCATCTTATGGCGGTGGAGCGTATTAGAGATAAAGCGGCTATCATTTGAAGTGTAATTAATCGTTTTACTTATAGAATACAAGAAAAATTTCATTTATTTAAACTTGGAAGGAGATTCTTAGAGACGATGTGGACATTTTGGGGAATTTGAGTAAATAAGCTTTCGCAGTAAAAGATTTCGGATCAAATTATGTAAAAGGTGCAGCATCCGTCAAATATACTTCCGGTAAAATTAATTTTTACCGTAAAATTTTAGGCTGTAATTTTTAAAACAATATTTATTTAATTGCAAGAATTAAGTGGTTTTCGGGTAAATAGTGATGTAAAAATTATGGTGTATCAGATTTTTTGTACCGTAAAATTTTTCGATAAAAATGGATTTTACTGTAAAAAGTACACACTTTTCCACCTCCTCACTTTTTATTGTGATTTGATTCGTAATTTTTCGCAGTATTAAGGCTTATATGTTGGCAATAGAAAATAAAGATTATGCCTAGCTTTTGTTTCTTGTCCGCGATTTTCTAAAATGTAATCTTATAACCTGGTTAATTAATCTTTTCATAGTTGACGTCGAGGAAATAAAGATTGCCACGTAGATAGTCAGATTGTCATATAATTTACCGAGACCTGCGAAATTTAAAAACTTGGCAAAATTAATGACTGTCGTAGGATCAAATAAGATTAAAATAGTAACTTTCTTTGGGGAATCTTAATTCTTTTCAAAAACGTCCAGAACTTCGTTACATCAAAGCTCTTTAATTATGTTTTACTTAACACACTCAATGTTAAATAGTATATCATATTCGCTATTTTTATGCTATATACACAGAGGAAAAAAATTCTGATAAAATAACCACACTGTATGGTAATGACACTTCTGGTTGAAAAAACATAATTCGGATTAATAAAACCAAAATATTTGGCATTTAAATTATTCATTTGGTTATGTTTTCCTTCATATGGTAACCGTTTAACGGAAATTTTGGTTTTTAATCTTATTATACCATACATTTAGCAAAAACAATGTAAATCGGAAAAGTAAATTTAACCGATTAAATGGTTTTTATGCCATGATCTAGGGCAATATGACAATATCACCAAATTTTACCATACTTCATCGCATATTATAGAACCATATTTTACTGTTAATTTTATGATAATCATTAACAAAATGCTCCAGAAAAAATTACCCAGTATTTTGCTATTACTATAGAGCTAGAATCACAGTAAATTTTACCATTTTCTGGTAGTTTTGACCATATTTTTTTCGCAATGCATAATTTTCTCGTTTGACATACAAGATTTAAATTTCTTTTTCAGTTTAATTTATATTTCGCGTGTTTAATTACTTACTACGGAATAAAATTGGAGAAATTGTTTCTATGCATTTAATTGTTATTTCATAAACAGGCAAAGTTACACGTTTCGTTCAGTAGAACTATCTTAATCACTTATTAGTACACGTGTGACTAAATTTGCATATTAAGTATAATTTTGTCTATTAAACATGAACTATTTATCTTGTTACACAAAATGACACAAGTAAGTGGATATTTTGTGTTAAAAACAAATTACTTAAAACAAATTTTATTGTTAAAGATTCCAAACCTTAAATTTGGGAATATGTGAAAAACCCCACTTCATGAATGCCATATTTTGCACAAGTTTAAAATTTCAGTCGAAGAAGTTTAACATAATAACTGAGAAAACACAAATAAGAAATAAAACTAATGGATGTGTAAATAGCAATAAGAGAATATCTTCAGATATAAAGCACGGAAAAAGTAAATTGTTTCAAGAATTTTTGGGAAAATTCTAATCTTTTTGCATTTTGAATTTTTAAGGAAGTAATTTGAGGAGCATTCAGGTGATAAATAAAAATTAATTTTTTTCGAAAAATACTCCTGTTAGGCTGCGGTATAATATAAATTTAGTTAAGGATTAAATTTGGTTAAGGATTTTCATACTAAGTCATGTCCTTCACTATAAAATTGTGAAGATTTTTGAAAATATAGCTGCATAATTTGTAGTTAAATAATTTATGGGTAGTAAAAATATTGAACAAGTGGTTTGAGTTGATTCGTTTGCTTTTACTTAGTATAAAATTAAGATATTTGTCTTGAATATATGATAATTTGTTTATATTAGTCCTCACCCCAAAAACCAATAAATCATAATTAATGTAGGAATGTCCATGCACAATATAAGGTTTGAAAAAAACTCATATTTTAATCTTGTATTTTATTTCTCCAATAAAGCTTAAGGAAGAAGAAAAAAGAAATTGGCGAAGCAATTTGATGTTTTCGTAAGCAAACTTTATGTTAGTTTTTATTAGATTAAATATGAACTAATGAAGTATGTATTGCAATGAAACTTTATGAGGGAGAAAAAATGTTGGCGAAGCAATTTGATGTTTTTGTAAACAAACTTTATGTTAGTTTTTATTACATTAAATATGAACTAATGAAGTATGTATTGCGATATGTAAGATGAGAAAAACTTCACCTTTCTTTAAGTTTTAAAAATTACTAGGGAACAAGGCCACGGTTTCAATTGAGATTAGTGTGGGAGCATCCTCTCCAATAACTACTTTTTTAGTCCTTCTTTTGAAAACCTTAATCACCGGAATCACTCAGAAATCATGTTTTGTCGTGCGGTTACGGTCACTCAATAATAGGATTGGTGCATCAGCTTTCCGGATCACTTCCTTCT